TGTCTGACCTTTTAATGTTGGTATGGCAGTGGGACAACTAATACGGTTATGTGTTTAGCGTTTTGATGCTGATCATAGTAGACCTTCAACGCAAGTGAAGGTGTAGATTAAAAACTTTGTCAAACAAACGTTCGTAAATTCATTACAACTCGATGTTTCTAGCCACGCTTGTAATTGCCAGCATAAGGACTCCAAACCCATAGTGCCCCCCCCCCTCCATCTCCTCCCATAGGAGTCCAGGGCCTTACCTGATTATATCAGGAGCAACAAGTATCGCAAACACACACACACACACACACACACACACACACACACACACACACACACAAACACACACACACACACACACACACACACACACACACACACACACACACACACACACACACACACACACACACACACACACACACACACACACACACACACAGTGCGGACACCTCACGGTGTTGCTGCTTTATTGGCTTTGACTGTCTTCTTAACTTTCAACCTAGATAAGGCAGTAGTAATAACCTTATTCCTCAGAGACGCACCAGGAGAAGGGAAATATACATGCGTTGATATTTTGGCAACATGCCTTTGTCGAAACGAATAGCAGAAGTGAATTCAAAATTGCTGGCCGATAATCCTACTTGATTTTGCAGGTTCTTTTAAATAGTGAGCCACAGTGTTTACAGGACACCAACATCCAGAGGATGAAATACGGAACAATTTTCAGTCATTACTACGATATAGTGCATATCTAGATAATAATTAGAATGCGCAGAACATAGGTGTACATGTAAACAAATTAAGGTAAACAAGCATCACGCATCACGCTTCATTCAAACATGCAATCGAGTTGAAGTAAGCACTGTTTACTGTTTACTTCTACTTACATCTTTGAATGAAGCGCGATGTGTGATGCCTGTTTGTTTGAATTCGTTTGAATGTACACCTATTTTTCGCATGTTCTAATCCTCAATCAAATATGCACTGTATCGTTGCAATGGCAGGCAATTGCTCCTAAATGTTGGTGTCCCAGTAAAAACTGTGGCTTGCTGTTTTTAAAAGCCTTGAAAAATCAGGCAGGATCAGTGGCAGGCGATTTTGAATTTCTCTTCTGCTATTCGTTTTGATAAAGGCATGTTACCGAAATATCAGCGCATCTGTACCTTCATTCTCCCGGTTTTTCCCTGGGTAATAAGGCATTACTACTGTCTTATCTATGTGCAGAATGTTCCACGCAGGTGTATTTAACAACTTATGTAATTTTCAAACCTTCTCAATCGCTTTCAGTCTGTCATCACCATCCAGTAGATAAAGTCCAGTCATACCTTTATAGCTGCAAGGATAACACGTCTTGAAACAGACTACGCATCACGCTAGCATGCAGTCCGCGTTCTCCGAAAATCTCGTCACACTAGCGTGACTAAGAGCAAAGATGGCAGCGAGAGACGATCTCACCGCCGCCTCCAGGCTACGCCACTCCAACAGGCGCTCCAGGGCGCCGGTTATGAGAACAAATTATGCGGAATGTTGTGAAACCAGTACGGTCGGCGGCGGCACTTTGTTTGTAAGAATGGCTTAAGGTCATCTATAATCCGGCGGTTGAATGCTCGCGACACACCAGAACAAAGCCGACAGTGACCAGACGGTGCCAGTGGTTTTCCGACGGCGTGCTGCATGTGTGGGAGCCCGTGCATGACGCCCAAGCAATTATTACTCACGGTGACAGAAGGCAACTTCCTTGATGATTGATCGCATCTCACAAACCTGCCTTTCTTCACCAACTATCTTGCATCCACGCCAGGCTCGATCTCAGCAATATTTTTCCTTTTCTTTTCCACGCATGACTACCAATAAACATCCCCTTATGTGAATTGTGACCAAGATCGTGCCTGTGAGGGGCATCGACCTACAACTCTGCAGGCGTATCGGTTCATTCTGTATGCGTCTGGAACAGTGCGCACAGGCTCTGGCACTGAGGTGAGCAACTATCATTAAACTGATATTGAACGTCCACTACTCAATGCTTTTAGGCTAGTGTGACGAGTGCAAGCTTATCGATGGGTTTTATATTGAACACAAAAAACGTGTATACGACTCAGATCACCCACACTCCCGGTGCGCACCATTCACCGTGTCAAGTTACCATAAGGCCCCCATCTCCCGACTAAGGTCATCCAAGATTCTCTCAACCGCCCATATTGACTGCCCGTCCCCAACTTCTCAAAGTGACCCCCGGAGAGCGATCAGTCAGTGGTCCCGTGACCGATCCAGCTCCGCCAGCTCGAGCACCCGGTGAGCACCGCACCAGCGACCGCGCGGGCGCGCCGCGGTCGGGCAAACCAGCTCCAGGTGCGGCGACGGAGCGGGTCAGCCGTGCGGACCGGTACCGATCGCCGGTCCGGCCGCGACCGCAGCAGACAGCGCGGCCCGGCGCGCAGCCCGTCCGCACGTTACACGCCGCCGTGATGGCTCCGGGTCGAGAGCACCTCTCTAATCGGCCATGCTCAGCCGGAGGAATGTTGCAACGGCCCGCTAGCGGCGCCGCTGATCAATATAGGCCGCCGCGCTTTCTCGGTCGCCACTTCCGGCGGCGCCTTGGCCTGGCCGGCGAGTCGGAGCGGACGCGGGAGTCACCTCGCGCGTGTGGTCCGCACCGGCCGCGGCCTGCCCGAGTCGGAGCGGACGCGGGAGTACCTTCGCGCCGTGTTGGTCCGCGCCGGCCGGCGGCCTGCCCGAGTCGGAGCGGGACGCGAGTCACCGCGCGCGTGTGGCCCGCGCCGGCCTGCGGCCTGCCCGAGTCGGAGCGGCGCGGAGTCACCGCGCGTGTGGTCCGCGCCGGCCGGCGGCCTGCCCGAGTCGGAGCGGGCGCCGGAGTCACCTCGCGCGTGTGGTCCGCGCCGGCCGGCGGCCTGCCCGAGTCGGAGCGGGCGCCGGAGTCACCGCGCGCGTGTGGTCCGCTCCGGCCGGCGGCCTGCCCGGCGCCCACGCGCCGCCGCCGGCGTCGGCGCTCGAGTGTCGCGCGCTCCGGATGACGCGCGGCGGCTGACCGGGCGCCCCGGCGCCAGCCGCTCGCCAGTCGCCGCGCGCTGCCGCCGCCCGCCGGCACCCTGCTCCCCATGCGGGCTCCGGCGCGGCCATAAAACGTGTTCGCCGCCGGCTGCGGCCGAGTGGACCGGAGCACGCGCCAGCATGGGGTGCGCACCGCTGGTCGTCGTCGCCGCGCTGGTGGCCCTGCTCGGAGTGGCGGCTCGCTCGCCGCAGGTGAGTGGCGGGCCTGCTGGGAGGTGGCTGCGGTGATGGCCTCAGACGTCTGACCGCAGTCGCCAGATCAGCTGTTCGGTTGACGGCGGAAGCCGCCGGATCGGGCTGATGACTCGCGATGTTCCGTCAAAGCCTTATTCGGATGTGTAATGCATGCTTCGTGCTGTTGTCTCGTCATGGTAATTGAGGTAGTGTGTGTGACACGGCTCACCACGTCGAACATAACGGAAACCATGTCCTTTGAGCCCAGTGGGTTTCCCCGGTGTGCGTACATGCCATCTTTTGACGCTAGAGATACACGGGTGATATCGCTGCGTTTTGGCATACCTCAGGCCAGTATCTTAAAACACCGCTTTTTAATAATCAGTGGGAGAATGCTTCTCGTGCCGAACCCGTACGCCACATACGTTCAAATAACTACTATTTACTGTGGTTGATTACTTCGACTGCAACGCTATGTGTATTGAGAATCGGTGACTGTGAAAAGAAATGTTTGTCAAATCCCCTGCCAAGTTTCAGTGAGGGAAGCAGCTCGTATATGTAAACGTAGTTGTACTCGTAAATGCGGACCGTATTGATCCTTACGCATTCGTCCAGTTTACCCGCAGTTCAATCCACATATCACGTACATTTGAATGCCTCAACCTTCGGACATGAAATGGACTTTCTCGCCGTACGTGCCTGATGTTTGTATCCTCACTACTTTCCGACAAAACTTTTCGCGCACGTCAGGGCTCAGTTCATGGCATAATATGTGTTACTGTTGGCATTTTTATCACGGGATCGTGCCGGTTCCTTGCGGGCCGGCCGGCGGGGTCGCTCAACTCGAAGGAATTCAATAACTACTGGCACGCGGAACGTTTGTATCCCCATCCTGCTGATCACGTGATATTCCGTCCGCTGCTTTGCTTTTCCACGAAATGCCATTATTTGAAGTTCAACGTGGCTTTGAACAGACCGGATAGCACAACACACCCGGTCAGGCACAACGGTGTTCTGATTTCCTGATTTATTCCTGAATACCTCATGCAACATGAGCTTAGATGCCCGTACCAAAGCCATCGGGAATATAAGGTGCAGATAAACTTCTTGACAGGTCGTTCGCTGACATTCCAGTACATGGTGTCTTGTCTTCAGGCATCGTTTTCCTTTATAGGAAATCCTGAAAGAAACATTGGCATGGCTTAAAGCTATTGTCCATAAAGTATTATACCATATTATCAATATATCCAAGCACATGTTGCTTTGTCATAGCGTGAAGGCATGCTCATTTACCTATTGACAGCTGTTATCATTTACTTGGATCACGTAAGCTGGTGCAATTTTGACTACGTTGTAATCTGCACTTGTCTCGGTAGGATTTCCGGCCCCTTTGATCCATGGGCAATGCCTTGAAGTAGCCGCTCCTCGCTGGCTGGCCCAGTTGACATGCTTCTCGACATAGCTTTCTTTCGGAATGGTGCAAGCCCTAGCTGTGAGAATGCGGCTCTGTTTGCAGCTCCGCCGGCAGGAGCGCAACGACGCCGTCCGTTTGCATGTGTGGTAGCACTGCACTGCACCGCTGGCTTCTGTGGGCGTACATACACGTGCGCATGTGAGAGCTCGTTTGAGCGCCTGTGTTGTCCAGGGTCGACGTACCGCCAAATATGTGACGTAAAATGACAGCCGGCCTTAGAAGAGTAAAACTAGGGGTGTGCGTTCTGCGCTGGGCAGTAACAGGACCACCCATAATAACAGAATAACGCAATATGGCAGTGTGCACATACCTTGACAGGAAGGCTGCATCGTGGCATTCGGAATAAATCAGACCCTCATCTCACTTTAGTAACACTTGCAGCAGTGTAACTGCATTGTCGGGGAACTGGAGAGTTCCGAATCGTCATTATCCGTGAATACCTACTGTAGGCGGCGGCCAATTGCAGAGGCACCTTTCGTCGGCTATTTTTGTCGTACAGTCTGGAAGAGAGGTACCAGCTAGGACTGTGTCATGCCCTCTCACCGCATGCCCGTCACATAGCTACGGTATTGGATCACACCACACCAGTCTGCCGCGGGGGTGGCCTGAGTCCTGCGCGGGCTTGACGGGGACGCCGTTGGGGTGCCCGACCCACCTGAATTTAGAAGGCGCTTTGCACGTGCCACTGTCGAAGGACAGTCACGCTTCGACCACACTGCAGCACACGCAGGTGGCGAGTGTCCATACGGGTTTATTTTTGTCGCTCAACGCTGGCTATAATTCCATCACCAAACCTTTTCCATCCATCGAGATAAATATGTCCCAGAAAAAGGACAACTAGCAGACTGATGCCCGCCGTAAGAGCTTCCTTTAACCTTGGCGGGGAGTACGATGAATGCCGATGGGTTATATAAGCCCGTCACATTGCGGCGGATCGAGTGGCGATGACAATGGTACAGCGCAGGCGCCTCCGGACGTGACTCCCGTCCTGTTCCAGCTGCCGCCGGAGCTGCACCAGCTGATGACGCCGCAAGAGGTGCGCCACTTCCTCGGCTCGGAGCTCGCCGAGTACGAGCTCATCTACGTGCGCGCGGCCGGCACCAACTCTAGCATTCACAAGCGCAACACCGACTCGCCAGAAGGACGTGCTGTTCGAGGCCTTCGGCAGGTAAGACGCGCTCCTGGCGTGAAGCGCATCTGTGAAACACTCTGCAGTTTTTTACGACTCAGCGTGCAAGCGACTATACTTAATGGCATTAACACTCTGTTGGTCTATCTCGTGCTTCAGTAGTTTGATTTGTGTCGAATCGGGGTCTCGCAAAGTGTAGTCTCGCCACTGATTCATTTTGGAACGGCCCATCAGCAATCATACGGCGTTTTAGCATACAATTATGAGTACCGTTTTCTACAAGGAAATACACATATCTGTTTACGTTGTAATTGTCGATACACGATTGCCTGTCAAACCTTCCTGGTATTTTTAACTTTATTTTATTGCAAATGGAAGGCCCTGAGCTACATCACCTTACCAGAAAATATGGTGACGGATAGTTGCATTACATAGCCCCTATCAGGACTATCATTTAACCTGAATAAGCGGAATCGTATCTTACAGAGGTCGTCTCTCCTGTGATATTGTATTTTTAATACAGGACCAAACATCCAGTGATCTAATGTCGCACCTTCGAGGGCCTTATTGTCAAGCAAAGTATTTTGGAACGACAGCTCAAGAGGTAGCACCGATCTCGTACACCGCACCAAACCCGATGTTGCTTTCCCATGAAACCAGCACCAGGCCCGCCTCATGCATTACGACAGCTACAGCCAAGGTGTCTGACATCGGCAGGCAGGCAGGCAGGCAGCCGACTGACAAAACTGATCAGTTCCTAACACAGCTTCGGTCTGTATTATTGGAAGCGCGTTGCAAATCAAGGGAATGAATGCCGCTCATTAGACGGCTTGGCGGTACCTTGGCTATGCAGCGTGCATACCAAATAGTGCCTGTTGAGAGTTAGGCAGGGAGAGGAGAGTAGGAGTGAGAAAGAGAGAAGGAGGGAGGGGAGAGAGAGAGAGTCAGAGAGAGAGAGAGAGAGAGAGAGAGAGAGAGAGAGAGAGAAGATAGAGAGAGAGAGAGAGAGAGAGGAGAGAGAGAGAGTAGAGCGGAGACAGAGAAGAGGAGAGAGAGCGAGAGAGAGAGAGAGAGAGAGACTTGGAGAGAGAGAGAGAGAGAGAGAGAGAGAGAGAGGAGAGAGAGAGAGAGAAGAGAGAGAGAAGAGAGAGAAGAGAGAGAGAGAGAGAGAGAGAGAGAGAGAGAGAGAGAGAGAGAGAAAGGGAGAGAGAGAGAGAGAGGGAGAGAGAGAAGGGGATGAAAGGGAGCAACACCGAGAACGAGAGCATAGCGGTGTCACACTCAGCACGGATTTGCAGAGCGCCAGCATGTGCTGCGCAGAGTGCTGCACAGGGCATGGCCCCATAGCGAGCGGCGGAACCATCAGCACCTCCGCGACGTAAGAACGAGCGCACGTCAGCAAGCTTATTTCAAAAGCGTATGGCCTCTGTTGGCGAGGTAGGACAGCCTCTGTCTGCTCCATTGACGGGTAGTTCCGAAGACCAGCCCGGTCAGAATTGATCTAGTAACGGTCGCCACTTAAGGATTGTTGATTGTGGATTATGGCCGCAGTATTGTGATCAAAGGATGTCGACGAGTCTGCAGCCGTCTGGGGCTCAAGCGAATGCTGATTGTCCGCAGTGACGCCAGCGACTAATTCTCGTCCGCAGTGACGCCTGCGACGAATGCTCGTCCACAGTAACACCTGCGACGAATGCTCGTCGGCATTGACGCCAGTGACCAATGCTCGTCCGCAGTGACGCCAGCGACTAATGCTCGTCCGCGGTGACTCCAGCGACTAATGCTCGTCCGCAGTGAAGCCAGCGATTAATGCTCGTCCGCAGTGACGCCAGCGACTAATGCTCGTCCGCAGTGACGCCAGCGACTAATGCTCGTCCGCAGTGACGCCTGCGACGAATGCTGGCCCACAGTAGCACCTGCGACGAATGCTCGTCGGCATTGACGCCAGTGACCAATGCTCGTCCGCAGTGACGCCAGCGACTAATGCTCGTCCGCGGTGACTCCAGCGACTAATGCTCGTCCGCGGTGACGCCAGCGATTAATGCTCGTCCGCAGTGACGCCAGCGACTAATGCTCGTCCGTAGTGACGCCAGTGACTAATGCTCGTCTGCAGTGACGCCTGCGACGAATGCTCGTCCACAGTAACACCTGCGACGAATGCTCGTCGGCATTGACGCCAGTGACCAATGCTCGTCCGCAGTGACGCCAGCGACTAATGTTCGTCCGCGGTGACTCCAGCGACTAATGCTCGTCCGCTAGTGACGCCAGCGACTAATGCTCGTCCGCAGTGACGCCAGCGACTGATGCCTGTCCGCAGCGCTTCCAACTGATTTTAATCGAGCCGTGATTTTAGAAACCATAGAATGTGCCTTCTATCAGGCAAGAGAAAAACAACCGCAAATGCCTTCGGCCACGTTTGCCTGTCCATCACGGCCGGCAGCTGGCTTTTGGCCTGAGTAGCTTTTGCTCACCGCACGCGTATTTTGGCTGCGTGCCTGTTGCTCACCATGGCTGGGGTGTGGCTGTGTTTCCCTATCTGGTTATCAAGGCCGATGGATGCGCTGCTGAACGCTGTTGCTCGGGTGATCGCAGCTTACACCATCTTCAGCATCCGCCACAATACTCGGAACTTGCACCATCTCCAGCATCCGCCGCAATACTTTGAACTTGCGCCATCTCCAGCATCCGCCACAGTGCCGGAACTTACACCATCTCCAGAACCCGCCGCAATACCCGGAACTTGCGCCATCTCCAACATCTGCCAGGGTACCGGAACTTACACCATTTCCAGAATCCGTCACAATGCTCGGAACTTGCACCATCTCCAGCATCCGCCACAGTACCGGAACTTGCACCATCTCCAGCATCCGCCACAGTACCGGAACTTGCACCATCTCCAGCATCCGCCGCAACACTCGGAACTTGCTCGATCTCCAGCATCCGCCGCAATAGTGTCCACATAATCTGCGTGTGCCGGCAATCCTAGCAGGACGGACTGAGGCGTGTCCAGAACTTGGACTCAGTAAACGTCAATGTGAGCAGAAAGCATGTTGCACTCCTTGGTGCAGTCATTTGATAGCGTGCAAACTAAAATGCATTTAGTTCATTGCTACCGATGCGTTTTAAAGCCTCTCGCAAACGCTTTCTCGCATTCGACTTGACATTCATATCACACACAATTCAGGATTCATGAAGCTAAACAAGGTTTGATTTAACAGTTGCAACTTCGCTTTGCCGATGGTATCGCCGTGCTTGACCTGCTTGGGTGCAGGAGTAAACGGTGCACATTTCACATTCCGCAAGAGATTTGCAGCGTCATTCGTATGTACCACGCACTTCATACATTCAGACAGCTCGCTCGGCCTTTCGTCACAGTTGGCATCGCTATTTTGTGGCGGTGCTTCATGACCGTAGATCAAAATGGTTTATGGGCTCAGTATAACTCAGGAACGTTTATGGTGTCCATATCGGGCTGAGACGACATGCTTTGTTTGAAACAAGACACGTAGTGGTCTTGCTCTTGTGGTTATTCGAAGATATTGGTCATGTCGTGAGACGTGACGGGTTCTTCGTCATCGCGTCTACTCCACGCTCATTTGGGCCGATAAATAAACTCCTCCTCCATAGGATGCGGCTACTTTGTCCGTGCCCATGCGCCTTGGTAAACAGAGCCGGAGACGGATTACGGCTTCTGTGTCCCCGCCCATACGCGTTGGTAAGCGGGGCCGGAGACGGATACGGCTTCTGTGTCCCTGCCCACGCGCGTTCGTAAGAGGGGCCGGAGACGGATACAGCTACTGTGTCCAGCGACCCTGACAGGCAAACTTGGGTGAAACATGCCCATTCGGCAAACTCTAATGACGGATGTCTCTTGAACAGAAAGCTCCGGTGATGAACAACGTTGACGGACAAACTCAGGAGAAAACAACACAGATGATGCAGAACAACAACTCAGATGTTCGTAAAAGGGAAACTCTGGTGACGGATGCCCCTGCTGACAGGCAAACTCTGGCCACGGATGCCCCTGACAGGCAAAGTCCGGTGGCTGATGTCCCTGCCAGGCAAACCCTGATGACTGATGCCCCGCCATGCATCACAGACAATTGCACGTTGTCGGAAGCAGATGGATTTCAGCTCTGGCTAGTGATGCATGCATAATGTTCAGGATGTGTGTGCATCCCCGAGCTATGCGTGTCCCTGAGCGTATTTCCTAAAGCGGGTTGATTATGCAGTTGATAGAGTGGGCTGATAAAATCAGGAATAACCGTCCCGCTGCCAATGCTACGTCTCTAATGCTTGGAAGCGCTCGTTTATTTTGGCTTGCTTCCTAAAAGTCTTACATAACGTGTGGTTTAACATGGTGCATTCAAAGCATCTTTTTTACAAGACGCTCGCATGACATTTATTTGACCACCTCAGCTGTGCTGGTTCAAGTCCTCGGATAATTTTGCTTTGGCTCTTTTGCCTGGCTCGACTTTTGAAAATTTCACGTGGGTGCGATGTTAGGAAATGGCCACTCCGGCGGGGCCAATTATGTGAACATTTACAGTAGGGCGAAACGTGTAATGTATTCCATCAGAAAACGGCTGTAAAGTCTGCCATTCAACGAAAATTTCCTTTGCCAGGATAGGTCACCATGTCGGATAATTTTGTCGCGCTATTCCAGTAACCCGACAAACTCATAGAAATTCGCCTTTCTATGTTTGGTCATTCTGAAAAATGATCTTCGAGATTATCTACACCCCGTCAGGATTCATGAACCAGTCATGAAAGCTTGGATTCCCGAAACCTTTCAGGACCCAAGTTGTCCACATCCCATTCGGATAATGTGTAATGCATTTGTCGCATGAAGACCTTTGCATTGTTCAGCAATAATTTGACATCGGGTCACACAGGCGTTTAAAATCTGGGTATTGTTTGCCCAAACCAGCTCATGTTACCAACCCAGTCCGTGTCACAGCGGCCGCTGGCCCACCCAGTCCGTGTCACAGCGGCCCCTCCCGCGTCACAGAGGCCTCTGACCCAGCGCAGCCGTGTCACGGTGGCCCCTGGCACCAGTGGCACGCGCGCGGTCTGATCGATCACCGCCGGCCGGTGGCGTCGCCTTTCCGACAGGCTCCGTGCCGCCGCCCTCCGCCCGGCTTGACCCAGTGGCGGGCGGTGGAGGGGCCGGACCGTGCAGAGTGCAGACTGGCAGGGCCGCTCAAGAGGCGCCATTGTGCCCACGCCCGGCCGGCGCTGTTGACTCGGCCGTCGCTGGAGAATGATGGGTGGGCGCCGGCGGGCCCATCGACAGGTGCCGAGAGCGGCAGCAGCTGTAGCCGCGGTGGCAGGCACTTCCTCAGCCGGCCATGGCGCGCGGCGGGCGGTGCAGGCGCGGAATGCTTCACCCCCCCCCCCCCCCCCCCGTGGACTGCACTGGGCTTCTTATGTTGTGATACTCAGAGCGGTCTTGGTCAGGGCCTTGGGCCTTTGGTCTTTCTCATTTGAAATCGCCACCGTAAAACTGAATAAATGAGGCTCCACAACAGAGGCCCCATGAATGTCACGCATAATGTCGGCTGCTGCACATCTACTTCCGGATCTTACTTAAGTCCATAATGCTGAAATAAGAGCAAGCAGGCCAGGTATTTCCAATTCCTTTGGAACGCTGTCATGTCCACCGCTCGATCAATTCTAAGTGGGCCTCAGTCCAATACTGAGCATGAACTCAAGAGCAGCTCGGCGCACAATCAATCACCCGCAACAAAAGGGCAGGCATGAAGCACCGTGTCACGGGGCCGGTTTGGTTAGGGCTCTGTCGGTCAGCAATGACCGTGTCAGAACTATGTGGTAAAGGAGAGAGGTTGGAAGTGGGGCACCGGTGACGTCATCCCGGCCATCCTGGAGTTCACGGACGTGGCGCCGTGTGCCCCACTCGCGGTACGAGCTTGGACAGTCATGCGTTGGAGGCACGGGCGGCGTGACGTATTTTTGGTTGTTGGGGACGGAGACGCGGTTGAACTTAGGTGACCTGAGTATGCCCAATACGCGGGCTTCTCAGACAAATCTGTCAAACTTTTGCATGTGCTATGGTCCAAAGCGTATGCCGTTTATTTCTTATTTTTTGTTGGTGTGCTAAATAGTTAGGAACTTTTATTGGCGGTGCCAACAAATATGAATTCTGATAACAGTGGTAATGTTCTGTAATGATAGATGCACCGCTATATTCGTCGAAGATACGTCTCCATCTGTCGGTGAACATCAGACTACTTTAGAAGACAAGAAAAAAGATCATCAAAACGATTCCGGAAGTTTAACAGGCACACTTGTATTAGCGCCAGAACGTTGCTAGACTGCCAGTGACGGTGTCAAGACCAGCACACAAATCTAGGAAGTCTGCGTTCAATAATGCATAGGTATGAGCATCACTGAGTTTTAATTCAGTGGCTTGCAAGCGTTAAGGTTCAGGACTTAGGGTCGAGGTCCAGGCTCGCGGGTTCAGAAGCGTGACGCGCATACTTCTAGCAGCAATCGATGCTACCTTGTCCTCTTGTTACCAGCTGACATACCCTGCCACCTTTAAGGGGAAATCTAGCAGCAATCAATGATACCTTGTCCACTTGTTACCAGCTGACATATCCCGTCACCTTAAAGGGGAAATTCGTTTCATTTTACCTGCATGCGGTGCGCCTAAAAAAGCCATCGAACGATCTTTTAGCACTTGCCCTGTCGGACATCTATTGCTCAAACCAGTGACCTAGGCAGCGCGAGGCGTTACTGGTCTACCGTTACAAAGATGACCGATGCCGTATAAGGGATATAGTAAATGCATGACCTCGCAGGCACGCTGATTGCGAGGATGACCTCAGGTTTATATTTATGAGATGTGATGCGCGTGCCTCTTTTCACCTCAAAGCACAGAGAACCCTCTGAAAAACAGTTCAGAAATCGCTTACTGTTACCGTTTACTGTTGACGTCTCTCAAGACGCTAGAGACGCATACAGCCTAAAATCTGTTTAAAATTGTTTAGCTTGGAGTTTTAAGTATAACAAACAACGGACAAATAGTCGTGGAAAGTTCCATATTGCAAAGAGATGCAAAATTTCATCTCGATGGTACATCCACCGATAAGCGGCCGCGGCCTGCTGCGGCCCGGCAGGTCAGGCCGCGGGTCCCGCATCGTCGGCCCACCGATCGGCGCGGGGGACGAGCATGACGTCACGTGCATGACCTGGGCCTAGTTTCATAAATACAAAATGCACTGACTTTTAGAATGCGTCGTGTAGGCATCCCAACCGGAACAAATATGCTGTATTTGATCTTTCTATTTTTAAGTCGTTGAGTATTATGACGTGCTCGTTAGACGAGGATGTTTTAATTTTGAATTCATACGAAGACAACCAAGAATGCCGAGATTACTAGTTTTCCTTCATGAAACCAGGCCCCGGCCCGACTCGCTCGGCCAGGGGCGAATCGCCTAGTAGAGTCGCTGTCGCGTGTGCAGTATTTCGCGATGGTGGGGCGGGCCACAAACACAGGCCTTGCACTGAAATACCGGCGCACGAATTCTCCTGCTAGGCGACATATAGTAGCGTATGTTTTGGCTTCCTGATTTTTTTACGTGTTAACTCGATGTCCTAATCGTTTACACTTGTTTGCGTGCATGTATGTATCTGTGAAAGAATGAAAAGGGAGGGGAACGTACTCCCACTGCCACCGGCCCCTCTTAAATACGTCCGTGAAGAGCCGTACCAAGTTATTGTAATGTGTGTGAGATTGTGTGATGTCACCCACGTTACCAGAACCTGGACATGCGCTCGACTATTCTGAGTCTATGAGATTGCGGGGAGACGTCCCTGGCATTCTGGAGGTTGTGGAGAACGCGGGCCAGCATTCGTCATAACCCGCGGCAACCGATGTGGGAATTTGCTGCAAGAGGCCCTTTGAGTTGAATGCGTCATAAACTGACGCAGCCCGTTAGTATGGCATTTTGGATTGCGTTTATACCGTAGGTTAAGACAGTGTTCTGCTGCCATTCGTCTTTGACATATTTCGTCCATTCTTTTGTTCACCCGTCCTGGTATACGGTCTTTTACGTCTGCCATTCGTCTCTTTCATCGCACTTGTGATCATTGCTCAAACACATCTGCCCACAGACCGTATAACCTTCGCCTGCGGCGGAACCGCCATCTACTGAGCGACACAAGCCGAATACTTGAGCGGCTGTCGGTAGATGTCACCCGAGAGTACGTGCGCGGTACGGGAGACTGCCACTACCTGCACGCCGGCTCCGACCTGACAGCGGCGGTCAGCTCCTGCAGTCCCGGACAGCTGGTACGGTTTGCTCCTGCAGTCCCAAACAGTTGATACGGTCAGCTCATGCAGTCCCGGACAGCTGGCACGGTTTGCTCCTGCAGTCCCAAACAGCTGATATGGTCAGCTCCTGCAGTCCCGGGCAGCTGGTACGGTTTGCTCCTGCAGTCCCGGATAGTCGGTACGGTCAGCTCCAGTGGTCCCGTACAGCTGGTGCGGCCTCACCAACATGGTCACGGCGGATTCTGGGTCCGGCCCGCTGCCGTAAATCACATCACCACGCCCACGGCGGGCACCGTGCCGGCTCTGACAGTAGTTTGTCCAGATGGATGTCAACGCTATTGTAAGACGGTGGGGCTTAGCCTTTGCAGTGGAACGGCCCCCAGAACCGTTGAGGCTGTTCGAACATAACGCGGCCAACAGTGACAATTGGCGGGCGACGTTCGAAATTCAAAGTTAAAGTAGTGCCCCACCATTGCAGCATATAAAAAACCTCTAGTGAAACCTCAGGGCCAATTATGTCTACGAATAGCACTAGCTAGTGCCACTGCAGTGCCGTCAAGGCACAATAAGGATATCGATTTTAATTATTTTTGCATCCAAATTACGCTGTCAAAGCATTGTAACACCAAAACGCTTCTTCTCTGCAGTCACGACTGCCGTCGTCATGAAAACCGCCGTTGCACCTTTACCGGTGTGAATAAAAGAACGTTTGTGATTGGTCCAGCGGGCGGCAAGTGCCTGTGACCAAGAAGAACAGTGATTCAAGTTTGAACCAGTGCGCCATTTTGGACCCTGTGGCACTCCCATTCGAAAAGCCAGTGTGTCTCGAAAAGAGCCACTGTGGCCAAACGCAATGGGACGGGGGAGGGTGAGAGAAATCATAGCCATAGTATAGCGTTTCGTTGAGTTCGTCAGACAATAGCTCCATGTTTGCTTATCTTTTTGTCTAAACAGAGTGCTTCGAGCTTTCGTAGCATTTATCACTTCCGGAGGAGCGGCTACGTTAAATAGAAACTCCGAGCTATTCCGAGGGATTTCGAGAAAGCTGGCACTACTGATCAAGTGGTACGTTTGTGATCAAACGATAAGTGAAAAGTGCAAAAACGTGGCATGCTCCCTTTCAAGGCGGATCATACACTTGAGCCGCCAAATCTGGTTTAACACCATTTAGTGGTGTAACAATGCACCAAGTCGTTATCGACCCATTTTTGTTCTTTGTAGTTGTATGGGGTCTCAGATCTGTAGCATTTGTATCATGCTTCGTTTTCTTCAAACCTGCCGGAGGATTTCTATGGTATTAGCATTTGATGGGTATATGGACTTCGAAGAAACTCATATATGACAGACCATTGGTATGCTCAATGCTTGCTCAAGCGTGTGCATCAACTGTCGCAAAAGTATGCATCTAACTCTTTCACTACGCAATATTTTGCTTGCAAAAGACGTGCCGATTTTCTAAGACAATCAACTATGGTTCCGATAACCGATAAAGCATTCCATGACCATCCATTATGTCTATTTTATAGCGAAGTCTCAGCAGGAGGCTTTGCGCCAGCATTTTTGACACGACGAGCTGCACGCACATCACGCATACTCGAGCAATGTTTTGGATCCCACAACTGTCCACTCGCCGGGACATTTGCGCTGTAGGGCATTACGTATGGAGGACCTAGTGCATGATATCTACGCGATCCACGGCTTACATTCCGCATTTGTCAAATGTTGAGCGCACGGATTTGTGGATAAGATCTGATTGCGAAGCGTTGCACCACGGGGATCACCGTTTGGATGTCTGCTGGGGAGCCCGCCCCGCAGAGGTCAGTGACCCGGGTGACCCCGTCGACCAGCCGGCTCCGTCAGGTACCGCAACCTGAAGCGTGTCGCCGTCCGGCCGCTCAGAACAATCATACATCACATCTCTGTAGAAGGCGGCCTCATCTGGCGCTAGTTAGCGTCGGACGGCGTGAGTCATTTGTCACCCGAGCTCGGCTGCACGGCACGGAGGCCCCTGGCGGCAGGGGACGCTGCTCCCGGCGCGGGTCACTCTGTATGCGAACACGCGCCGCCGGAAACACACCGAGACCTGATTCTTATCACGTGCCGTATCGTATCTAACACCACCTGAGTTTGAGCGCGCGTGCAGCGAGCTTTGCTACGGTCTGTAGAAGCAGGCTCACAAGGGTCATCAAGGCCCGGACCCTGCTGCCAGACGGTGCTGCTAAGGCAAGTCTGTGCAACCGTCAAGTGACTATACAAGCACATCATTCGTAAGCTTATTCAGCTGCAGCTCTGTATCAGATTAGATCGAAGTTCCTTCTACCGACAGTCGAATGCCAGGAGAGATCAGCACTCGGAGGTACGGTGAGGCCACATGCATGTGACTTCGAACATTCACATTACAACGTACAGGAGCATTTACTACTTCAGTTTGCTAAAGAGCACAAATGACTGGCCCCGCCTCCGCCCCACCAGGCGCTGTGCACTGCCTCGCCAGTGTGGTGTGACGCAGGGCTGCTCTCCGTGGCCAGATCAGGCCGCGGCCCGATGTTTTACCTGCACGGTCAGAGCGGATGCGACGTCCGAGAGGGACCGGCGCACCTCATGTTGTATGCTGAGCCATTGTCACAAGCTTATCCCCATATCGGGTCCGTCCGTTCTGGCATTGGGCCTTCCCTGATCCGGATGTAAAACCAGTGATTTCTCTAATCCAAGTGGGACTTCAGACCCATCCGGAAATTGCCTCGCTAGTGTGGTGTGACGCAGGACTGCTCTCCGTGGCCAGATCAGGCCGAGGTCCGATGTTTTACCTGCACGGTCAGAGGGGAGGCGACGTCCGAGGGAGACGGGCGCACCTCATGCTGTATGCTGGGCCATTGTCACAAGCTTATCCGCATGCGCGGTCCGTCTGTTCTGGCATTGGGCCTTCCCTGATCCGGATGTAAAACCCGTGATTTCTCTAATCCAAGTGGGACTTCAGACCCATCCAGAAATGACCCCAGCTTGACTCTGGCGTAACATTTGCGTGTCCGGGCGTGACCCCTGATGATCAAGCGTGATGCCTGATGACCGAGCATGACCCCGATGGCTGAGTGGGATCCGTGAGGACCGACCGTGACCTCTGATGACCTGGCGTGACCCATGATGACCGAGCGTAGTCCCTGATGGCCAAACATGACCCCTAATGATCTAGGATGGCCCCTGATAACCGAGCGTGATCCCTGACGACCGAGTGTGACCTCTGATGACCTGCTGTGACCCGGGGTTACAGCGCGGGTTCGTGTCGGACGGCCAGACCATGCTGGACATCGCGCCGCTCAGCCGGCGGCTCAGTCGGCTGGTGCGGGCCCGCCGGAAGCGCTCCGCTTCCGAGGACGGGCACCCGCACTTGGCCCGCCGCGTCATGCTCGAGGACGTCTTCTCCTTCATCAATGGCTTTGATATCAGCGACGACTTTGTGTACCCCAGTAAGCATCAGGAATGACTTAACGCCTGCGTTCAGTTCATTTGCATACTTCCACGGCGTTGGTAGCGTTGGCGTATACTCCCGTGGTGCTTGTTGTGCTGGTGTATATTCCCACGGCGCTGGTAGTGTTGGTGTATACTCCCACGGCGCTGGTGGTGTTGGTGTATACTCCCACGGCGCTGGTAGTGTTGGTGTATACTCCCACGGTGCTGGTAGTGTTGGTGTATACTCCTGCGGCGCTGGTAATGTTAGTGTATACTTCCACGGCGCTGGTAGTTTTAGTGTATACTCCCACGGCGCTGGTAGTGTTCGTGTATACTCCCACGGCGCTAGTAGTGTCCGTGTCTATCAGAGCTGCCCAGTCTGAGCCTGCCGCTTCATCTGAACAGCGGTCAGCTCGACGGTCCCACCCGCCTCGCGCCGTGGACCTCAATGGAGGCCTGTGGCAGCATACCGGGCGTCTCACCCGGTCTCGCCTGGCCATTATCTGCGGGTTTAACACATGCAGGTGGCAGTGATCGCCCAAGCCGTGGGCACGCCCAGGCGGGGCGCGCGGGGTAACGGGCCCGCTGAGGGTTGCAGACCATCGCAAGCCATGCAGAAGCAGGAGCTGTAGCAGCGACGGAAAACGACGATCTGTTAGCCGGCGGTCTTGTGTGGATTCTTCAAAATATTGAAATGTTAGACGGTCGTGACTAGGGGACATGTGTTGCGGGGTGGTCAGGTGTTTCTGCTTGACTTCAAATACCGGTTCCGGTTGCAGGTTTTATCAATCCGAATGCGCCTGACATAAACAAGAACATCGTGAATACCGGGGAAGACGAGCTGGAGTTTAAGGGGGTAAGAACGAATGCTCTCTGTCCGGTTTATTGAAGCTCAGATACCGCAAAAATGACTTTGCCAGTGTGCTTAATTAGAGAGAGCAATAATCAGGCATCGAAGGCGAGCGTCTGGTGCCGGTCACCTCTGAGTCGCTTATCACGAGCCGCTACTGCAGGCCGCTGCGCTACTCACAGTGTATTGATTGAAAGGAATAGGTGCATCAATGCAAAATCGAGCGCAATCGCTCAGTATCCAACGTCAACATTGTCATGGGTAATCCAGTCGTGAGGTGCACCCCAAAACATGTGCACGAAAACGTCGCAGGCCTGTACACATTTCCATGCGGCAGTGACCTTAACACGGGCCCCGGTTCTCCAGCCACCGCCGTTCGACCGCTACAAGCGGGGCAATAAGCGGACGCTGGAGCTGGGCCTCTACGTGGACAAGCCGGCCCGGGAGACATTCCTTCCCTTCTTCGACAACGACCTCAGCGCGTTCGTCGACTTCATCCTGGGCTTCATCAACCAGGCGAGTGCTGGTGTTATCGCTCGGTTTGCTATTTGAGTGGTCACTCGCTCTACGAGATAAATCGACGGATTGTCACGTTTCGGCGGTCTGTGCCCACTTCATGTCACAGGTCCTGCGTGTGGCGGTGCTCCCGGTGCGTGTGTTCCGTTGTGATCGTCGTTGTGCCGTCCGGTGTTGCAGATCCAGGCGCTGTACTACCTGCCGAGCCTGGGCGTCAAGGTGGACATCACCATCAACTACCTGGAAATCATGGAGACCCAGCAGATGCGTCACTACGGAGGGGAGCGGGGCGAGCTTCTCACCTCGTTCTGCAAATACAATACTCTGATGAACGGGAAAGCCAAGGATAATCAGTGGGACATGGGCCTCTACCTATCCGGGTGAGTACGCCGCTGGTCCAATGAAATTCTCCGTAACAAAGCGTCTACCGGAAGTCTTTCGAGAAAGGCACGAACGCTATCCAAACGGGAGTCACGGCAATGTGTGCGCCCAACGCTTGCCCAGCGACCTACTGTGTGCTGTAGCAGGCTGTCCCCAGGCAGGTTCTGCGGCGGCGTCCGACTTGTTCCCGTGTTGTCACCAAACCGGTGCGAAGTCCGAGCCAGGTATCGCAGTCTTCCGCCTCAGTTTCGGGTTCTTGTCTCATTCCAAATCACGCGCTTGTCGTTTCAATCCGAGGATCGCTGCCAAATTATGGTTCGTACCAGGCGGCTTGTGCGTCATTTTCAGTCCCGTGTGTCTGTTCACATCAGCCGTCCCACGTATCTACCGTCTCAGCTTCACGAACTGGCCCCACGTAGTAGCTCCACAGCACCTCTCATGTCTTGGACGTGACACAGAGCGGGGAGACTGAGATGCAAGACTTCCGTCTTCCGGCTCAATCTCGTTTATCAGTCTCAAGCACAAACTGCATGCCTCAGTCCCGCGTCTCAGCCTCATGCATCGTGCTGAAGCCTCACTCTCAACATCAGAGAGACCTCATCATGCCCCAGCCTCACGTCTCAGTCCCACGCCTGAACTTGCCGTCCCAGGCTGACGTGTCATTATCACGTCTCAGCCCCACGGCCGTCTCACGCTCCAGTTTCACGTCTTCGCGTGCCGTCTCGGTCTCACGTCTCATCCTTGCCAGCTGGCTCCACCGCCGTTCATGCGCACGGTGTGTTTCAGACTGAACTTTTTCGCCGTGCAGAAGGGCCGCAGGTCTCCGGTGACCATGGGCCTGGCCGTCATATCGGGCGTCTGCCTCGACGAGTACTCCTGCGTCATTGGCGAGCTCGGCACCACCAACGAGCAGGTAAACCGTCCGCGATAATGAGCTGCGTATCCTGCGAACGCCGCTTTCTAGCCTCAGAGAAAATTGGCATGCGCTCAACGCCAAACTCATGTGACGCAAGTCGATATGATACGCGTTTCTGATGTTTCGTAGCGAAAAGCAAGGAAAGATCTCATCGTTCATCGCACTTGTCTCCGTTAGGCGTGGCGCCAGCCGGCACCTGCCGAACGCGTGCTTCGGCAGCAGCAGCCTGCCACAACTTACGCCTGTCACTTCGCCAGGGCAAGCCGTACCCGTCAGCCGGCTTCACCGCCGCCTACATCATGGCCCACGAGATCGGCCACAACCTGGGTATGTTCCACGACTCGCAGGGGAATGCCTGCCCCAAGAACGGCTTCATCATGTCGCCGAGCCGTGGCACGAAGGGCGAGACCACCTGGTCCTCCTGCAGTCGACAGGTGCTGGCGGATATGCCGTGAGTAGGGGAGACGTCCCACCACCTCGTTGGGCCCAGTGTAACATTTATCAATCAGCCGTGATACGACAGTTGGAATTGCTTGATGCAAGCTAGATAACAATCAACACAAGAAAAACGATGCTTGAAAGTTTCTGAAGGAAAAAGCAAAAGCTCAACAATTTGTTAGAATCAGGTGACAATCACCGCATCGAGCTGGTTACAAAGAACTGATGACATTTCATTTATTATGTAAAACACCTTACATATTTCTCATAAAGCAGTCATGGCATCATACCTGTGCGGTACAGAACATGGGCCTTTAAAACCGACGCAATCTAGTTGATCAATCAAAATGCATGAGAAGTGCACAAAACGCCTTGTGGTCGACAGCCCCAACTGCCTGGACGATCTGCCGTCGAAGCGAGCCGTCCAGAACCACAGGATCTTCCACGAGAGGCCGGGACAGGTGTTTGACGCCTACGACCAGTGCCAGCTGCTGCTGAAGGACAAGGATGCCGAGCTCTTCAGCGTCAGAAATCTACCGGTGGGAGAACAAGCAGGCCCTGCGAGAGACCGCCACATGCGTGCTTGGGGTTCTGACGAGAGTGCCTTTGACATTGCATTCCACAGTGACTGAATCCCTTTTAGGCTGCTTCCATGACCATCGGAGTTAGGAGCCGCGGTTATCCGTCGGTGGAGCCTGATGTCGACAAGTATCGATGATCGAATGCTCTTGACCAGCCTCTTGCATCGAATGCATTTGTAACGTTGCTCCGTTCTTTGGGTCGTGACACGCTTGTTGTTAAACGCGTACAATATGTCTTAATGGTGGCAGTGATAGCCGTGATAGCCGTGATAATAGCAGTGATAGCCGCCGATGGAACGTGTTGTCAGCTACGTGTGCTGCGACGGGGTTCGTAGGAACACTAACCTCGCAGCGCTCAGTTTTCAATCGCCGCAGCTGCGGCAATGTGCCACTTGGCGTTATCGCCGCACTCGGAGCGACGCATCGCAACAGTCGCTGTCACCGACTCTCCGCCCCCCAGGAGAGCTGCGAACGGATCAAGTGCAAGTCGCCCAACCGCATCGGCTACTACTACGCTGGCCCGGCGCTAGAGGGGACATTCTGCGGCAACAAACGGGTAACGTGCTCCATCTGCCGGCGGCGCCGGTATTGAGGGCTCTATTGATCACACTGTTGGTGTAGGGTCTCATACAATCGTCATCGGAGTGGTCCAGCCGCCAGGGCGCGCTGTTGCCTGAAAACGGGCGAAGATGCGCTTCGCTCTCCTGCGTGTTTCGTGCTTTGCCCTGGTGGGCAGGCCCGCTAGCTAACCCGCCGTTCTTCCGGTGTTCAGCCGGTGTGAGCCGATGTGACCCGGGTATGAGCTGGCATGAGCCGATGTGAGCCGGGGTGAGCCGGGGTGAGCCGGCGCACCTCAGCACGATCTCACTCGCGCCTCAGTGTGTCACCAGTGGTGCATCAGCGGCAGGTGCCGGCCCTGATCCAGCCCGGCCGATATGAGCCGGTGTGAGCCGGTATGAGCCAGTATCAGTCGGTGTGAGCAGGTATGAGCCGACGTGAGCCGTTATGAGCCGGTATGAACCAGTGGGAGCCGGTGCACCTCAGGCCGATCACACTCGCGCTTTGGTGTGTCACCAGTGGTGCATCAGCGGCAGCTGCCGACCCTGGTCGAACCCGGCGCCGCCCGTCATCCAGGGCGGCTGGGGAGAATGGAACGTGTCCGCCTGCGCCTCCGGCTGCGTCGACAAGGCTCTGGGTGAGAACGCTGGCTGGGGTCCGCCTTCAACTGCAAATCATAGCGGAATGAATGCTCCGCATCCCCGTGGCCAGTTTATTTTCCGGATCTTTTCCGCTTGAAGCAACATTTAAAACAGAAGAAGGTTGTGGTGTTGCATGTGGTTTGCCTGTAAAAGCCAGTAAAAATGGACAAACCAGTGAAAATAGATAAACCACTGAGAGCAAACTTACGAAGGTAAAAGATATGAGTCATTCTCATCCCGCGATGTTATTTCACGTGCTTTTTTTCTTTGTGTATCTTGAACATCCTTTCTACATTGCATTAATCCCAGACATTAGCGTTCTCGTCGTCACACGCCGCCGTTTTCCACCGCCATCAGTGCTGCCACCTACACACTGTTCTCCTCTGCCTCCACCACCAGGCGTTTCCATAGCTCGGAGGCGCTGCGACAGCCCGAAGCCGCTCAACACGGAGGACCGCTGCCTCGGGGCCGCAAGTCACGTGGAGTTCTGCGAAGACGACACCCTCTGCAACTACCGATTGACGGCTAAAGAGTTCGCCTCACAGAAGTGTCGCGAGTTCAGTCAGCTGGTGGATGACATCCGGTCCAGTGGAGTGGGCATACAGGTGCCTTACACTGAGAGTGAGTAAGCTGACAAGGCGACGATATCACACATACACACACACACCCTTACCCCACATAACATCAGGGCATGAGCTGCAATGAAATTGGGACGGGTGGAAACGAATAAAAGTGCTTCTGCCGGGAGTGTCCTGGTTGCCATCGGCACGTAGTTGGGATGGGTGGAGACGAATAAAAGCGCTCCTGCCGGGAGTGTCCTGGTTTCCATCAGCACGTAATTGTACGATGATATTCGATGTCATGTTTGCATGGTCCCCTTCATTACCTTCACTACACGGACCAATACGTGAGGAAACCAATACTGACAATAAAAAATGAAGTTGAAGACGTACAAATGAAAAGATCAAGATAATGGGCGACATTTTACGCTGTTTCTCACATAGCGCTATTCAACTCGCTCTCCGGCGGCCTTGAATTGTGTACCCGGTTGTTAATTCCTGGATACGGCTCTCCCCGCCCCACAAGAATTGTTCGATGATGTGCTGACACAAGTGACTACTAGCTGTCAATGCTCTTGAGGAAACATTCTCCAACATGTCTTTCATGGTCGTCCGATATGGTTACTGCTGCTGAATGTCTGGAAACTTTTACGCTCAAATGACTGTGCCTTGGCTCAGTCCAACTCATATGAAATGCGGTAAATACTTAAGAACACGAGAGTCCTAAGTTTGAAAATCTGCGCCAATGCATGATTTTACGGGTCACAAGCAAGGCGACAGCCCACCACCGGGAATTATTTGTCGCATGATTTGGCTCGGTTTGGATTATATCCCTTCCTGCCAGTGATGACCATTTCAGGGCTATGGGATGCTGGGGAGTGGGTAGCGGTGGGGCAGACTAACGGCATGCACCTGGTGGTCCATCCGCCGAGCCTTAGCTCGCACGAGGACCACTGTGCGGGGTATGCGCTCAGCGCTCGGACGGCGCCCGCTCGCCAGGGTGCTCCTAAGCTTCTCATAGCTGATGCATGTGGCTTGCCCCGGATCAGCGGGGCGTCGCGAGGATGCAGGGTACAGCTAAAATGAGGAAAAAGGGCAGATGATCTCGCATGAAATTTTAAGAGCACATCTTTACCTCAAAGCTTCACCGGGCTGCTAGGTATGATTACGGTTATCCTCGGAGTCAGCTCACCGAATGACCTTTCTTCAGGCAAGCCGTGGAGCGCGTGCTCCATATACTGCAAGCTGAACAGCGGCACGTGGTACACGCCGCGGCAGGACCTGAACGACATGGGCGTCGACACGTACTTCCCCGACGGCACCTGGTGTCACAACGACGGCCTGAGCGACTACTACTGCCAGCTGCACGAGTGCCGCCCCAAGGTACCGCCGGCGCCGGCCGGCTGGCGGCCGCCCGCTGCCACCACCCGTCCTCCCGCCACCCTCCCCATCCCCTGGTGGAATACCACACCACGCCAGCCAGTGTGGCCGCGCCCACCGGCCACCCTCCGGCCGTGGACGCGCCCGCCGGCCACCTTCCGACCGTGGCAGGGCTGGCCGAGCCGGCGGCCCGACAGGTGGCAGCAGCAGCGCCCGGCACCCTTGACGAGGTTTCCGCCACGTCCCACCAGGTGGCCGCCGCGCGCCGCCGCCGCCAGGGGCGCCGTCTCCACACTCGAAGCCAGTGACACCACGTAAGCTCCTCCGGCCAGTGCGCGCGGGTGTAACGTGGAGACGCTGCTTGAGGTCCGCACGGAAGCGGACGAGATGGCACGCTGCCGCAGTCGGCGTCGGCCAAACTGCCACAGGCTCTGCCGTTAACGCTTTTATCGTGCCGGCTAACCCCACAAGCTTTGAATGCCCGACTGCGCCGATACCGCGCTGTGGTGGCGCAACACACACGGACACGGAATGCAGGTGGCGCTGCTCCGTGTCGGTATCGGAGTGAGCAGCTGCTTCCGCTTGCCAGCACACGTGCCGAGCATGAGTCCACCCACATTCCACCCGCATGGTCCCGCGCTGAGTCCAAGCCGGACCTCGTGGTCCTCTTGTAGCGGTAGTTACAGTATCCCCTCTGAGGGATACCAGCCTAGTGCAGAGGTCACACATCCTCGGTCAACAGCAGACTGCGTGCGCAGCTTTTGCTCGCGTCTTGCATCGGCTCGGCTCAGACGGCTGGAGTTACAGTTCATATCGACATAGAAGGGCCGCTGCCGTACGCTGTCGTACTGGGTCCGTGTTATCAGCCAGCAATGGCCTTTTTTACTGCCTGAGCGATTTTTGAGATTGACGTTTACATTGGCATTTGCTCACTGTAAGTGAGTTTACATTCGGGGGCACTGGCAGGATGTACCACAAGAAGCGGAGTCAAACGCGAAGACGGCTTCAAAGCGATTCCCAGCAATGGGCTGCAAAAGGTCAGCAATTGAGTTATAAGGTTCCCGTGCTATGGAAACGGCTACACGAATAACCTGACCGGACCAATCAGACCAATAAAGTCTGCTCGCTGTAGATCACATGGCTATTAAATATGCATTCATATATTATCGAAAATCCGCGAAAGAAAGCCATCATACCTTGTAAAGTGAACACGGCTAAGATGACAAAATTCCATGTCATAGACTAAAAAGCTGTTCTTAAGCTGGGAGCTCTTGTTCTGACAATGATCGGCCTTTAAATTACTAGAAGGTATTGGTAAACGACATCAGGAAGCGAGCATTTGTTGTATTTATGCGATTCCGTTCAGTAAATCCATAACTGAGTGAGTGAAGTTTTGTCAAACTTGCCATTGTTTGCTTCGTAACGTCGTTGAGCCAGTACCTCCCAATAGACCTTTCCTTCTGATATCAGCTGTACTCAAAATTGTACAAACAAGCAGCATTAGCAAAACATCCGTACGCAACAAGGCGGGTGACGGTTTGAATGACATGCTTCCTACAGAAAACTCGTTCGTGCCGTGCTCGTTTCTTATTCGGCATGACATTTTGAGTAAGACACTTGGACGTTTCGAATTCTAGACCGGAAGGCATTTCGGCAGCCACTCCTTTCTTCAGTATACGTCTGGATAGACTTCTAGACCGGAAGACATTTCGGCAGCTGCTCCGTACTTCAGTATACGTCTGGATAGACTTCTAGGCCGGAACGCATTTTGGTAGCTGCTCGGTACTGTAGGACACGTTTGGCTAGACTTCTAGACCGGAAGACATTTTGGTAGCTGCTCGGTACTGTAGGACACGTCTGGCTAGACTTCTAGACCGGAAGACAGTTTGGTAGCTGCTCGGTATTGCACGACACGTCTGGCTAGACTTCTAGACCGGAAGACAGTTTGGTAGCTACTCGGTACTGCACGACACGTCTGGCTAGACTTCTAGACCGGAAGACATTTTGATAACTGCTCGGTACTGCAGGGCACGCCTGGCCAGCTAATCTCTGACCGCTGTCGAGGACAGCACCTTGTATTTGCGCCTCTGGGTCACTCCTGGCTCACCCCTGACCCCCGTGTGAAGAGGGCGCACAGAGACAGCGCAGCGTGAGGTGAGCACATTACCGGGGGCACGTTGTGTCGTACCGCCGCCCAGCCGTCTGCATATGTCCCATGAGGAAATGAGCCCACGAGCGAGTTAACGACCCAGGCTGCAGCTTGATGGACGGCTGCCCCGGGAAAATACTGCAGGCCGCGACCGTGCCGGTCCAGCTGCTTCTATGACCCTGGCCAGTCACGCTGAACTTGCTGGAACGCGATGAGAGCCGGCGGGCTGAGCGTGCAGTGTGGGAGACGAGCTGGGCGTGCGCGGCTGGGAGACGGTTAGTGATGGCGCTATGCTGTTGAAACGCAGCATTACTTTGGCGGAGAGTTGTCTGTGTCACGGTCCCAACAGGAAAATACTCAGCGCTGCCTTGGGTCTGCTTCGGGAAACCTGCATCATTCCGTCTCCTCGTAGATGTTAGTTGAAGACACGCCGTAGCAGGGCCGGAGCCGCAGGTTTTTGATAAAGGGGGTGGGTGTGGCGCGACGAGGTCGTAAAACCATGACACCACGTCTTGAACGAAAGTGGGTGATAAATCATGCGTTGAATAACTTGCGTTCTCATAAATGATCATTGCTGGGCAATTCCTGATGTGCCTTGCGCTGCACCGTAGCGCAAGGCACACAAGGCACCGTCTCCATGCCCTACCACCGTAGGGCATGGAGACGCGAAACCGGGAATGGGCCAGGGCCCATTAGCCCAAATGCGATAGCCCAAATGGACCCGTGAATGGGCCTACAGCTTTCTGAAAATTTAGTATTGGCCCTGTGTGCGTTATCCGGCAAGAAATAATCCAAACAGCTGTCATCCTCTTTTTCTGCCACGTAGACAAATATTCGTTGCCCAATTTTGGCGGAAAACAAGTTATTGCAGTTCCGTTACTTGTTTCTCGTTACTTGCCTTCGTTACACGGTGCAGATATCATTTGGACCGATTGGCCATATAATATACTCGTGTATAAAGGTGTGCTTATACGGTGACTAAAGCTGCGCATGGTGATATTTTGTGCACATTTACCTCACAGCTGCGATGTGGCTTGGACACCCGAGTCCAAGATTCTAGTTTGCTTATCGAAACATAACAACAGAGGAAACCCTACCATTTATTATGGTGGCGATGAAAACCTCCAAACGACATGCGGCTTGATGATCACAGAGTTTGCATACTTCTTACTGGCAAGAGTGACTGTGGCTTGAGCTGAATCCATTCGATACAGGCAAGGTGATGTACGTGACGCACTGCTGCTGCGTTGACCTGCGTTCTGCACGAAGGCTTTGAGGATGGGGTAGGATGGGGTTGGAGGAGAGCAGACTTTCCCCACCTATCCGACGATAGGGGACGCGTCTCTTCTCTCCGTCCTCCCCGCTCCCCGGTAGCACCGCCACTGCACCGCAGGGTATTGTGGCGCGGATCTATACAAGACTGACAAGAAGCGGAGCCTTTCCCCAGCGCCCAGTTTTCCCGATCCGTGTGCGCAAGCCGCAGCTTGCATGCAGTCGCACGTTGCATTAAACTGCTAATGCTTGCGAACAAACGAAATGCAGCGGCCTCATTAACCCTGATAAGTTCTTTGAAGACGTCCGTGTTTTTCTTCTCTCATGCCAGCAGTAGTGTGCTCTGTAAGCGCGATGCCAGCAGCAGTGTGCTCTGTAAGCGCGATGCCAGCAGCAGTGTGCCCTGTAAGCGCGATGCCAGCAGCAGTGTGCTCTGTAAACGCGATGCCAGCAGCAGTGTGCTCTGTAAACGTGACGTAACCAACACGGCCATCCCGAGAAAGGCGCGCTGAGCTACGACGCCGTGTAAGTGACTCTAGCCTGATGCCGATCACATCAGTGAGCTGCAGGACATTCCGTTTATTATTATATATATCACAAACTATCCTGACGCAGATCACAGCAGTGAATCAAAACGTCCTGTGACCTGTGACCCCATCACAGATCGGTGCGGTGAGCCAGGACGAGGCCGGCGACGAGGAGGCCGCCGCGCCGCCGCCCCTGAACGTGCTACAGAACGCGCTGTCTCGGCCGGCGCAGCTGCCCGAGGCCCTGTCGGTGATGCACCAGCTAGACAGCCAGCTGCGCCCGCTGCAGCCCGACCAGCCGCCAGAGTTCGCGCCGGCCGACTCGCAGGAGGCGTTCGGAGAGCAGGACGTCATGACCATCGACGACATCAAGGAGCTGATGGCCAAGCAGCAGTGACGCGCCGTCATCTGGTGACGCCGCCGCTGGCGCGTGGCGTCGCGAGGCGTCCGACGCCTGGAGCCTGGTGTCCGGCGGGCTATGGCCCGGTGCCTGGCGCTGGAGACTCGACAGCGTTGTGTTCTGAGTGCCGGTGTGCGGGGCTTGGTGGTGGCGCGGCGCGCGGCCGCCAGCCGCCGCGTCTGATCTCCTGGGTGTGCGGCGCCGGTTGCGGGATGTGCGGGTGTGGGCTTGGGACAGGCTGCAGTCGACCTTGAACCGAACGTCCAGTTTAAATATCGTCATGTCGTCTATACCTCAGGATAAAGAAGTGGACACGAACTGTGTCGCACTGCAGCTGCACTCACCCGGACCTATTTTGAGGGACATCGCTTGTGGCATTGGCATCGCATCTATTTATTGACTCCGTTAGTTCGGCGCTGTTGGTGCTAGATTGCCATTGATCGAAGCATTGGGCGCATACGCATTTAGGTCGTGGCGATTGTTGTTGGCGTGTCGGTGCTATCACGCTGCCACTCGCGAAGGCCCGAGGATCATTACTCTGGTGGACGCGTGTCTTGGCCTTTGATAGTTTTATACTTTTATAAGTTTTTGCTGGGTTGGAGTGGGGTTAATAAACGGAGAAAACGAAGCACGTGTATTTCCCAATCAGCTGATATCACATGGAACGTTGAGTTGCACCAGCCTCGGACATAAGCGGCGCGAGCAGGCATCGGAGCATACCATCGTACCGTTCGAGCGTGTGAATCTCCAGATTCGCCGCTATCCTCGTTTGGTAGAGATTGAGACAGGCTGGTGGAAATGACGTCATGCGGCACCAACCCCGGGGCTTTTACGCCAGGATTTCCCACTTTGTGCTGCGCGTGATGTTGATGCGCGGCGACCAATGCCCAGGACATACTGCACAAGCAAACGATTACGTCCCGATAGCCACTGCCAGAGCCATACTGCACAAATTACCAATGAAGTCTCGATGGCCAGTACTGGAGCCATACTACACAAACAACCGATGGAATAATGGCGGTCAGTGCCGAGGCCATGCTGCACAAACAACCGATGGAATCATGGCAGTCGGTGCCGGGGCCATGCTGCACAAATAACCAATGGAATCCTGGCGGTCAGTGCCGGGGCCATGCTGCACAAATAACCGATGGAATCCTGGCGGTCAGTGCCGGGGCTATGCTGCACAAACAACCGATGGAATCCTGGCGGTCAGTGCCGGGGCCATGCTGCACAAATAACCGATGGAATCATGGCAGTCAGTGCCGAGACTACGCTGCACAAACAACCGATGGAATCATGGCAGTCGGTGCCGGGGCCATGCTGCACAAACAACCGATGGAATCATGGCAGTCGGTGCCGGGGCCATGATGGATAAACGACGGATGAAGTCGCCATTAAAGAGTCCTGGGTAACAGTTGCGCTACGTCATAATGGCTCGGCTGTGAGCAACTGATTATCAGTGTGAGATGTCTTCGCAATTCACATTATTGCAATACCTTTCGACGCACACAACCTGCTTACGGCGGGCAAGCTGGGTAAAGAGCTTCGCCATGCAAACATCGGCACGGCAGCGTATTGCCGCCACATCGGTCCACCCCATGGTGTGTACAAATGACTGTTCCAACGCTGTGCAGTGTTGTCACGAGACCCTGTGCTCGCAGGTTCGCAGAGTGGACCGGCTGCCCGGGTGAGGCCATACAGCTACAGTGCCTGGTGGTGACGTCTGCATGGTGCCCGCACCGGTCCCCTGGTGCCGTGGTCCGACTTCGCCGCACGCGACGCCAGCAGGGGCTTAACTGGACTCCACGCCTGCGCGTGGCGTCGCGTGCCCAGGCGGCGGCGGGGGTGAGGTGGTGCCGACGGACACCCGCCCACGCCACCGCCGCCGGCTGCCCCCCCCCCCCCCCCCCCCTCCTTACCCCCGTATCGAGTGCGCGGCGGCGTCGGTCTCTCGCTGGGTACCTGCCGGAGATGGCTGGGGCCGGCCGGGGGGCGTCGGCCGGCCGGCGGCGGCGGCACTATTGATCGGCCCGGCAGACGCCGGCTCCGCGCGGCGCGCAGCAGCCCTGCTGGCGGCGGCGCGCGGCACGTGACGCCAGCCGACCGGCCGCAGAGCAGCGGGCCCGCGCGGCCGCCGACGCCGCCCCAGCACCGCCGCACCGGCCGCTCGCCGCAGGACGTGCTGCCCCTGTGACGGCCACAGGTGGCGGACCTCTCGGCGCCAGACGGCAGCCTGTCGTGCCGCGCTCAGCTCGCAGCTCGGAGGATCCGTCGGGTGAGTAGGGCGCAGTCGTGCGCGCTCATGGCGGGCGTTCGGCGGGGGCTCCGAGCTCAGACGCATCTGCGGGTGGTTACTCATCGAAACCCCGTGACTGCAGATGCATTTACTCTTAGTGTTGATATGACCCTACTGCTCATAATGGAGTGGCGAATAGGGCGAATCAGTCGTCTGCTATTGTGGCTACCAATGACTACCGTATCTGGCGACCACTGCCTGAGCATGACTCATCTGTGTACGTCACCAAGCGATGGGCCACCCAAATAGCAGCAACGCTATGATCACAAATATTTTGAATTCGGCGATTTACCGCATCATCCCTTTGTACCGGCCACCTTCAGGAAGGCCCAACGCTATCCACGTGAAAATGTTTTTTTTTTTAATTGAAGGTGCGGGAAAAATTTCAGGTAATATTTAAAATGACCAAAGAAGCTACAAATTGACCTTTTCCAAAAGCCGACCAGCCGAAAATTTGGTAGCTTTGATAGCCTGGCCCAGCCGGCTACGTCACGCTGTTGATGGGCTTGTAATCAGTATGACAGACAGGAGCAATTAGGGTCATGCAGTGTTAATGTTAGAATGCCTGGAAACCTTCAAAAGCAGTGCTGTAGTATTTTCCAGTTGTTTGCGTTCAACAGCTGGAAAACAACAACAGAAAAACATCTGGCTTTCCGATTTCCGATCAGGACTGAATTTCCTGAAACTTTGCAGCATCACCAATTTAGCCTCCCCATTCGATTAACAAAGGCAACGCAAAAATGTTAACTTGCGTAAAAAATCTGTGAGACGAGGGTATACACAGGGGTCACGGTCAGCTATCCGACGTCACCTTGACACGAGAACAGCACTGTTTGCTGGAAGAAAGAGTGGGTGACATTCTTGGCTAGAGCTGTCTGACATGTATGGCTCGCCACGCTCACCCCAGCACGAACAAAGGATCCGACGACGGTGGGCCGACGAGGTCACGGCAGCTAAAACAGGTCAAGAGGCGACACGAGCTACACTGCACAGGCTACTGTACGGTATGAAATACTTAATCCGCCTCAACATGTTTCGGTTTATGAAGATGCGTCGGTGGGCAGACGATAATGACGCGTGTCTGCTATGGTGTAACCGATACCACTACTCTGCACTTGACAATACTACTATGCAACTGACGGCACTGCCACATATCTGAGATACAAGTACCAGATAACCGAGATACCGCCACCACATTTGCAACTGTATATTTTCATGTGACAAGAGAGGCTGGGTAACGCGAACTGCGCAGCCCTGAGGCCCAATTCACTCCGACTAATATCCCTTACGATATTTCCATTTATTTCCAAGAAGTATTCGGCCACAACAAACGAAAGCAAATCTAACCAAGGCCAGCTTTTTATGTTGACAAAATCACAACATCAGACAAACGCCACCGCTTATCATTTAACCATGCAGGTGACTTATGGATAAGAGCGAGTGTATGCCTCTGTAAGCCCTCGACCCACTTAATCAGTTCTGCAAGACGGACACTGCATTGCGTTGACAATGCTCATCGGAATCAATATCCTAGACAGTAGCATTAGTTAACATTTTCACGCCCCCCCCCCCCCCCTCCGCTCCTGCACGGCGCACACTTCTTCATTGCACGTTGTGCGCCCTTGTGGCAACAACGGCGCAAGGACGAGCCGGAGCTGTTTTTAGTTTTGATTCCTCTGAATGCCGGCGCTTAAAGACCAACGGCCAGAGCAAATCCGGCCTCGGCATTGATTCCCATCTGGCTGGAAACAGCCGGCTGGACCCGGCGGTAGTCGTAACGACCTTTCGGCGCCCGGTAAAGCAGCAAAGGTCGCGCGCAGGCGGCTCGGGTTCGGCACCGGGCTAATGGCTCCTGTCGGCCGCCGCCGACCGGACCCCTCCGCGACCGAGCAGTAAATTGCTGGCGCGCAGCTGCGCTGAATCGTCCGCCGGCCGCCAGACACGGCCACTGGTGCTTGTCAGAGCCCGGGCCTGGGAAGGGTGGAGCCACTTCGGCGCACAAACGGCGCTGAGTCTGGACCGCCAGCCGGCAGCTGGACCAGCTGCCGCGGCTCACTCCGGATCCAGCCTGGAGTACGCGCCAGCCCACTGACCACGGCTGCGCCCTCGGCCACTCCCTTGCGGCTCGTCAGTGAATCTGCGCGTGGGGCGAACACAGGCACTGAAGAGCCGACGCCGGGTGAAACAACTTGATTAGAGACGATGCTCCATTTTCGTCGTCTTTGACGTCATTGAGAGGAGGCTGCTTTGGTGGGCACAATCTATACCAGAAAACAGCGTGCGCTACTGTTGATTCGAGCCATCTCTCCAGCGTCACATATCGCGTTTCGGGTGACAGCGTCTCCGTATTCAGGTGGCCCGGCAGACCTGTGCCGCGATCACTTAGTGTCGATAGTGTGCTTCCGTGACTGTGCTCCAGTGACTCAGTGTCTTGTTGTTCCGGCGAACCTCTCCGTTTGGTCACTCAGTGTCGTGTCCTGTTGAACTAGCTTCCCTGAGATCCGGTAGGCCAATGCTTCTGCAGAGACAGTAACCTGCTGCACACGTTCCTCTGACTCAATGTATCTCTATCCAGCCGGCTCAGTGTCGTTGTGCCCCTGTGTTCCTGTGAGCGGGTGATTCAGTGCCTTTCTGCATCCATAATCTAGTGTCTCTATATTTCGGTCCTTGGCGGCTACTCCCTGACATCGCGTCCTCTTGGTCCGAAGATCGGTGCTCTTGTGTTCCGGTGGTTGACACTCTCACTCTCATTCTCCCAATGACGTAGCATCTCTGCGCTCTGTTGGCGCCCGCCTCTGTGCTCCAATGGCTGTGGTATGTGTCTAAGTTACAGTGAGTAACTGATCTCGCATTCTAGTGACTCAGTGTCTCTGTTTTCCAGTGACCCGATATATTTGAGTTGTGTTCCAGTGATTCCGGTCTCTGTGCTTCCGTGGCGTACTGTCTCTGCGATACACAAACATGCATCCAATGTGGCTATGCTCCACTGACGCGGTACGAACGTTCCAGCGACCCGCCACTGTTCGCGTGACCGTGTTCCGGTGCTCCGTGTCGCTGTGTTCCCGTGTTTCCGGTTTCAGCGACTCGACGCCGCGTTGTCTCGGCACCCCGGTGACTTCGTTGCCTGTTCGTCCGGCAGCTCTCTTGTGACCAGGTGCCTGACGGGCCGTGCGTCTGCGGCCGGCCGTGGCCGCCTCTCGCCGTCCGATGGTGGCCAGGTCCAGAGGAGAGCCCAACCACTCACGCCACACGGCCGCCGCCGCCGCCATGCTCTGCTGCGGCCCAGAGAAGGTGCGTGTCCCGCCGCCAGGTGCCCTGCCAGTGTGTACCAGACGGCAGCGGCGTGTGTAAGCAGGACCACAGTCCCGTAGCCATCCGTGCCTTCTGAGGCACGTAACCCTCATGGACTATCTACACGCAAACGATGAGGAAATAAGACGACAAATTGGACCGCTCGAAGAGAAACTCTTAACTGTGTCCCTCAATATGAAAGTCACGCATGCACCCATGACAGAAGAGGTGCACCAAATCCATATTGCATCTTAGGAGGTTCCATCCTCACCCTGAGGTGTCTCTCCGCTCCTGAGCGTGCCGTGGTGGCTGGAAACGTCGGCTCTGAAGCGAGCGGTGTGCTTCTTTAGGCTACTGCACACCCGGAGAAGGGTGTACAGGAGCAGCGATGTGCAATCACATAATCACGACTCAAATGGTCGGAAACTTGAGGCCGATGGAAATCAGGTGCGGAGGCCCACCGCCTTCTGAGTTGCGCTGCAAAGTCTCCAGCTGCCGGGGCCGGAACGTTGCAGCTTCAATAAATGTCACGCCTGGTTGAACGGGGGTCAATCAGGACAGTTACCATTTACTGGAGTCAGGCTGCGGCTTGGCCGCGGGCCAGCCTGCGCTCCAGCTTCATGGGAACAGAACAGCAAAGCCAGCCCATTTCGCTACGCCATATTGTCTACCGGCGCCGCAAGCTCTAACCTGGCCTTTAAACTTTCCTGAATCTCCGAAATCGAGCGGAGCACAGCTCCGGCCAAGCAGCAAGCATATGTAGATGGTGGCGTCGCACGGCGCGCTGTCGGGGACGAGTCTGCCTGGGTTGAGGCCGGAGCCGAACGGCCCGCTGTCTGGGACGAGCCTGCCTGGACTGGGACCGGAGCCGAACGGCCCGCTGTCCGGGACGAGTCTGTCTGGACTGGGACCGGAGCCGAACGGCCCGCTGTCCGGGACGAGTCTGCCTGGGTTGAGGCCGGAGCCGAACGGCCCGCTGTCTGGGACGAGTCTGCCTGGACTGGGACCGGAGCCGAACGGCCCGCTGTCCGGGACGAGTCTGCCTGGACTGGGACCGGAGCCGAACGGCCCGCTGTCCGGGACGAGTCTGTCTGGACTGGGACCAGAGCCGAACGGCCCGCTGTCCGGGACGAGTCTGTCTGGATTGGAACCGGAGCCGAACGGCCCGCTGTCCGGGACGAGTCTGTCTGGATTGGAACCGGAGCCGAACGGCCCGCTGTCCGGGACGAGTCTGTCTGGATTGGAACCGGAGCCGAACGGCCCGCTGTCCGGGACGAGTCCGTCTCGATTGGGACCGGAGCCAAACGGCCCGCTGTCCGGGACGAGCTTGTCTGGGCTGGGACCGGAGCCGAATGGAACACGTCCGGCCGGGCCGACCGCCGTCAGATGCCTTGCACCGCTCCACTCTGATCAAATCATCACCAGTCAAAGTTAGAGCAGGACGGGGTTATATATTTACTGGGTGTCGGTGGGCGCAAACCACTGTGCTGAAGCCCGGTAGCAATGGCCAGGCTCAGTGTCGCAGATTTCGTCCTTCTTTCCTCATTCATGCTTTATCATGCATCCTGGCGACGCCCCTGTATTCGGGATAAGCCGCATGCATCAGCCATGAGCGGGCTAAGTGTTCCCACGCGGAACTCCATCGGAGCGCTGAGCACGTGCCCGTATAGGAGTGCCTGCGCAGGCTATGTCTCGGCGGACTATCAGGTGCATGTAGTTCTGCACCACCGTTGTTTACTCCCCCTCATTCCATAACCCTGAAATGATCCATCCGAAAAAGGCTTTAACCCAAACATTACTCTGAGCCACTCTCCCCCATTCCATTTGCGTAACATGGTCATTACTGAGCGAAAGGACTTTAATCCGAAACAAAAGAAACAAAGCGGAATCGCGAAACAAACCTGTGCGCGCGGGGTTGTAACTCGAAAATCGATTGGGGGTAACGAGGGGGGGGGGGGCTAAGCCGATAAGGTTGGCCTAACCTAACCTAACAAACCTAACCTAACAAACGTAACTTCTCCTCGAATTCCTGCCACTTTAGTTTGCCTCCTCGAAGTAAGAATTAAATAAATACTGTGTTAGACATTCCGTGGATTGAAAAACTGTTTTGCTGGGAAGAAATAATTTCCCATCTCAAGGCAGCCGCATTTTTCTGAAAAGCATAGAGCGGGATATAACCCACAGAACAAAATCTTAGTCGCTGGAGCCTTTGTGATAAACAAAAGTAGATGTCATTCATAATTCATGAAGGTGACCCGAGGCGCAAAATGACGGATTTATGTAAAACGGCCTAAAACACGCGTGTAAGAGCCTGCGATAATTTTTTAAAGTACGCTTCCAAGACGTACCCATAAACAAAAATAAATCTGAGCTTGCACAACATTTTCAACAGATGTGTCGATAACTGTTAGATGGAGCAGGCAAAGGCTGAGGGCTTCAGAAGGGGCCTTTTGGGGACGAGAACGGGTCTCTTGTGAGCATCACCTCAGAGCGCTGCGCTGTTACCGCCCTGATTCCCTTCCGGCCGGCCGTAGAGTGGGGTGACTACGGGACCGACCGGGACGAGGGTGGCTCCAGCAGAGCGGGGCAACACTGCGCACTACGACGCGTACACCTGCCACCGTCGAGGCCGACGGAAACATTGGCTAACTTTTATGGGGGCTACCCCGCACTTTTAAAAGCTGCCGCATATTGCAATAAAGTGTTGTTTTTTTATCCCAATCCAGGTGTTGGCATGTAGACAATCTGTAAAATAATTTTAGTCTGGCCTGACATATACAGGAGTTATATGACAAGAACATTAGACACCTACAGGATAAGATTTGGTACAAAATGAGCGTGGTGCTAAAAATAATGCTTTAGGTACCCAATGTACCAAACGTTACGACATAATTTCTGCATTTCTTTCAGCCAGTGCCCCCGAAAAAGCATACTAAGTGATGTGCCAGTGTGCAGTGGCATCTTCCCCAACGATGGATGCCTAACGACCGGTCCATGGGCTGTCTGCCACCCTAAGCCCTGCCCCGCTCGTTTCACGTGTCATCGAAGCCGTAGCCCACAGTGGCTGCCCGCTGCGTCATGCCTCCACCACCGGCGCCGGTCGCTGCCCGCTGGGTCATCCCTCCGCCACCGACGCCACTCGCTACCCGCTGCGTCATGCCTCCGCCACCGACGCCGCTCGCTGCCCGGAGCACGCCCTACACGCCGGCGATGTCTGACCCAGACCTAACCGGGTGCTGATCCATGAGCACCATCAACTCGACGTCACGTTCTGGCGGAGGGCCGACCTCACGTGCCGCGGCGCTGACAGGGCCTCTTCGCCGGGTGCGGCCCGACCGACTGGGCACGGCCGGCGTCCCCAGTGTGGGTTCCTCGGACACGTCTGTTGTCTGGAGCGCAGCGACAGCGGGGCTGTTGACGGATGCCACTCGGCAGGATCGGCCAGCGACAGCGGGACCGTTGACGGATGCCACTCGGCAGGATCGGCCGGCGGCAGCGGGGCCGTTGACGGATGCCACTCGGCAGAATCGGCCGGCGGCGGCGGGGTCGGTGACAGATGCCACTCGGCAGAATCGGCCGGCGGCGGCGGGGCCGTTGACGGATGCCACTCGGCAGAATCGGCCGGCGGCGGCGGGACCGGTGGCGGATGCCACTCGGCAGAATCGGCCGGCGGCGGCGGGGTCGGTGACAGATGCCACTCGGCAGGATCGGCCAGTGGCGGCGGGGCCGTTGACGGATGCCACTCGGCAGAATCGGCCGGCGGCGGCGGGGCCGTTGACGGATGCCACTCGGCAGAATCGGCCGGCGGCAGCGGCGGGGCCGCGCGGCTGGCCGCCGCCGGCATTGCCGTCAGGGTTGGCCCGGTAATGAGTCATGGGCCTGCCCGTTGCGTGTGCAGGTCACGGCCGGTCCAGTGGATCAGGTGGAGTGGACCATTGCCTGTCTCTGTGAGTGGATCAGTATCTGTCCGATGGGTGCGGGCGGTCAGTGTCCGTCTAATTAGCACAGCAGGTCAGTGCTTGCATGGCGAGTACTGTAGCACCCATTCAATGGGCACATTACCAGTCCAGTGCACGCCGCGAGCCAACGAGTGCTCCGCGCTGTTTGCGCGATAATATGCTTTGGTCACGGTTAGTAAAGGCAGCTATACTGCCGAACGTGGACGAATTGCGTTACGCTCTCCTTTCTGTCATTTTATTATTGTCAACACAATTCTTGCACCGAGTACACTTTTGTATTGATTAGGAATTGAAGAGAACGACACATTTACATGTTGTGACAATCACTCCGCAACATGGTGCCACCTTTGATGGAAAGACTCCGTAGGTAAAACTTCTATAGATGTTGTGGGGAGGCAGGAGGGCCTCTGCCCATGCCACACGGATTAAAGCTTTTTAAGCGACATTTCCCTACCATCTACACTGATGAATAACCAAAGTGTTTATTGGCACACCCAGATGTGTAAGAGTTGACCAAGCCTTGTTAATCAATTATGTTAACCAATCCCGAATGTATACAAAGTTCAAGCATCTTCAGAACAGTTCTGAGCTCGCGTGCTGCACAAACACAGCGCATTTACAAACAGATGGAGCCACGTTAGAAAGCGACCCCGCCACAAGCGCAGTTCAGTGATTGTGGTAGCTGGATTTCGCCAGCAGGCACGCCATATCCTGAACAGCGACAGTTTCCTACTGAAACGAAAAGCAGTGCCTGCACAAAACCATGGTCTTGTTGGTCTAGATCGCGTCTCTGGCTTAGGTGGCGGCTGTCCAGACTGCACCACATCCACGTACAGATCAATAATCATCTTTTTATTTTAGTAATAACAGACTGTTAGGACGGGAGGAGTGCAATGGATTGGCGCCTGCCCTATGAGTAAAATGACTCAGGGTCTGTCCAGCGAGTGCGGCGCTTCAGTGCCCGTGCAGAGGTGTAGTGGGCCTACGGCTGTCCGGTGAATGCGGCGGGCCCGTGCCTGTCGGACGAGCCAGTGGGTCAGAGTCCCATGAGTGCACGGAGTCAGCGCCCGTCCAAAGGGTGCACTGGTCCCGCGCCAGCTAGAGGTACGCGCGGCGTGCGAGGCGAGCCTGCCGGCTGCGTGCGCGGCGGGTGGGCAGGCGGCCGGTGCCCGTGGCGCGGCGGCGGCCGGCGCGGCGCGGTCCTGACCGCGGCCGGTGCCTGGCGGTGGCGGCGCCGCCGGCTCGGGCCGCCCGCCGGGCCGGCTGCAGCGCCGGCGATCGATGCCCGCTGCCGCTCGATCGCCAGTGCGGCGACGACCGGCCCCAGTCGGCCGGCCGTCGCCGCCCCGGCCGCCGACCGCCATGCCCGTGTGCGACCTCAACCGGGTCAAGGCCAACCCCTGCGTGTGGCTCTTCAGGAACGGAGCCGCCAAACGCGCCAAGGTGGGTCTCGTGCTAGCGACAGGCGGCGGCTGCGCTCAAAGGCAGGGACTCCATCCGGCTGAGGCCACGAAGGCAGCACCTGCACTCCTCACTGCACGATGCACGCGGCGGATTTTCCGAGGTCTTGGTCGGGCGGCCTGCGTGTGACCCGTGACCTTGACACGCGACGGTGTGGTCGCTCCGCCCGGCGGCGGAAGCCGGGCGACGGCTACAGTCTTGCACCAAACACAGCAGCCCAATCATCTCCCAGACGAAAGCCCGACAGACGTAGACTGTCATGTTCAGCGGTATGTTCGCTGACAGCTTAGACAACAAACTGCGAAGACGCAGTTGTGCACTTACCCTGTACCCACCTTACACAAGCGCTAGTAGACTGAAGCCAAGTGCCCCTCATCGCAAATTGCTTACTGTTTATGTTGTGGATGAAGGTCTCGTTCCTTTCTGTGTGCCTACTCATCCCCATCAAGCCAATGCATTCTGTACGGCACGATCATTGTGATTGTTCAAAGCATACCGTGTGCCTCTATTATTGACAAATTGTCAGTGCTAATTTCATTCCAGGCAAAAATAGCTCGCTCGTAAGCCAGACGTCGTAACAAACGTTTCGTGAAACATACGGGCACCCTACGGTAGACCTGAACTGACAGCCTCATTCTTATAAGCAAGTAGAATCGCAATCGAATCTCTTGGTGCGACGTCTGCTGCATATTTTGTCGACGGGTTTAAGTAATTTCGAACCGCACATATATTCGGGCCTCCTTCTCTGGATGCCATGGGAAAACCCAAGCTGCTAGTGAATCAGCATAGTAGCGGGAAGCACCGAGCCGTCGACAGCGGACACGGCTGCCTTGACATGAAAGCTTGAGCTCGCTCTGCATGAGCTCGTGCTGTACTCGCGGTCCCGATGGGCTCGAGTAGACGGCCTGTGCACTGGTGGGCAAAGGAGGAATTTTGCCGATCGCGTGTTTCGGTCCGTATAACTCCAAGCGCCGGTCACCAAGTGCCACTCAGCGGCCTGGTCCACAAAGCGGCTCATTCAGACGGAGGTAATCGAGCGTGGCGCGTGCCAGCGGGCGGAACGTGTGCTGAAGTGGCGGCGAGTCTAGCGCAGCCCCGCCTGACGTGCGTCGACGCTCTGCTGGCAGGATGGCTCAGAACAGTCAGCCGACATGTCCAGGTCACCGCGACACAAGCAGCAGCAACAGCAGCAGCAGCAGCAGCAGCAGCAGCACGATCAGCCAGACAGCGCTGCCGGCTTCGGCATGCCCCAGATGGTGGTGCAGAAGGACTTCAGAAAGGCGAGGATCCAATCTCCCCCGAGTCGGCCTGCTCATGCCACACATCGTCGCACTGCCCCTCCGTCCACGAGTCTGGCTACAAGCCGGGCGCAGTAAGACCGGAGCCGGGTCCAGAGCGGTGCTCGCTGCCGTGTTACTTCTGCGCTTCGGTGTGCCTGGGTGGGTGGATGCGTACCGACGAAGGTGTGCTCTGACCGGGACGCCCTGGCTCGGCAGGTGAGCGGAATCTCCACCGAGATCTTCCGCCAGATCGAGACGGTCGAGAACGACCTGGACGCGTCGACGGCGGCCGCGCTGCGTCTGGTGGAGCAGCGAGGCGAGATGATGGTCACCTCGCTCGATCCCCGCCGTCTCTCCAAGAAAGCCTACCGTATCGCCACCGGGTTCATGGCGCAGCAGGTGAGGCTGCGGCGTCCGCCCCGATCCCCACCTGCGCTCCATCCTCGGTGCGCCGTAAGTCCGCGGGCAGACGGGCCAGAGTGGGCTCTCGATCAATGCATTTATTATTTGTGTCGAGCCTCCAGAGAGCGTTGCGGCATGGTCCGATTGTATTAGCTGTGCGGTCATTGGCAGTTTACTGCAGGAGCGTGAAGGCCACTAGGTCCGGAGGAACAACTTGGTGTTCGGCGTGTCTTCTCGCCTTGGTAGCCTCGTCACTGCATCAGTCACTCTTCTGTAAACTGGCTAAATTATCTGCCCTCTATGCATTAGTCCTTACTTAAGCCGACGGACGATGGGCCGATGGTCATTGCCCGGTCGGCGACCCGTGCCGCCGTAGCTTCTGCCTCTGCCTCGGCCCCTGCTGACCGGCGGCCCGCCGCAGGACGGTCGGCACACGATCCAGTTCGTGGAGATCGTCAAGCGGCCCGGCCAGACGCTCGGCCTCTACATCCGCGAGGGCGACGGCGGCGAGCGCGCCGACGGCGTGTTCGTCTCCCGGATCGCGCTCGAGTCGGCCGTCTACAACTCGGGCTGCCTGCGTGTCGGCGACGAGGTGCTGGCCGTCAATCTGGTGGACGTGGCCGGCATGGGGCTGGACGACGTGGTGATCATCATGTCGATTCCGCGACGGCTGGTGCTGACCACCCGGCGGCGGCGACACGAGCCGGGCCGGCCCAGCCCGCCGCCCGGCGCGCTGCAGGCCAATGGACCGCCGGTGGTCGTCATCAAGCAGGAGCTGCCGGAGGAGGCAAGCGCGGCGCCGCCGCCGCTGCCGCCGCGCCGCCCGCCGGCCAGTGACGCGCTGCACTACGGCTACGCACGGCTGGGGATGGCCGAGCCGACGGACGCGCCGCCTCGCTACCAGGAGGTGGCGGTGTCGGGCCGGCGCGCCGCCTACCAGCCGCCGCCGGTGGTGACCGAGCAGCCACACGGCTACTCCCACTACCAGCGGCCGTTCTCGAGCGCGCTCGTCTCACCGGCCGCACACGCGCCGCCTGCCGCCGGCCTGTACGGCGTGCGCGGTCGCGCCGGCTACGGAAGCCTGTCACGCGCGGAGACGTACCAGCGCGGCGCGACAGCAGTCGGGCGCGGCGTCACGCGCACCTACAGTGACCAGCTGCTGCCGGCCGACGGCTCGGACAGCTGGACGAGCGCGCTGCCGCCAGCCATGCCGGCCGGACCGCCGGCGTCGCTGCAGTACCCGATGCGCTACCAGGACACGATGCGGCGCCTGAGCGCCATGCGCCGACGCACGGCCTCGCTGGAGTACGCCTCGGACTCGGAGGCTACATCGAGCCGGCGGCTCGGCGCACCGCGTCGGCTCGGCGCACCGCTGGCCGCCGTCGGCGAGCGCAGCCGCTCACTGCCGCGCCGCGGCGAGCCGCTGGCGCTGGCGACCCGGCCCGGCTACGTCAGCGGCTACGGCTCGGCCGGACCGGCTGACAACACGGATGACAGTGACGGCGCCGTCAGCGCGCCCGAGCTGCGCCCGCGGAGAGGTGAGCTTGGCAGAGGGGAGACAGGCTGCTGCTCAGATGGGGCGAGCTGCGCCCGCGGAGAGGTGAGCTCAGCGAAGAGGAGGCAGGCTGCCGCTCAGATGGAGCGAGCTGCGCCCGCGGAGAGGTGAGCTCGGCGGAGGGGAGGCAGGCTGCTGCTTAGATGGGTCGAGCTGCGCCCGCGGAGAGGTGAGTCCGATGGAGGAGAGACGGGATGATGCTCAGACAGAGCGAGCTGCGCCCGCGGAGAGGGGCTGCGCTCCAGGAGAGAGAGCGATAGAGAGGTTGGTGAATGGCGGGTGGCGGTGAGTGGTCTCAGGTGAACCATTTAGATACGGGTGATAAATGAGCTGCTGTGAGGATGAGTTAAGCTGCGACAGGGGAAAGGTGAGCAGCGTTCCAGGACAGGTCAATTCCCAGGAGAAGTGAGTTGTCGCGCAGGCATGGTGAGCCGCTTTCTGGGAAAAGCGAGATCTAGCCACGGACTGGTGGGTTGCAACAAAAGCGAGATGAGCTTCCATTCAGCCGAGGTAAGTCGCAGTTGAGCAAAGGCAAGCTCGGACAAAGAAGAGATGTGCTTCGGCTCAACCGCTCAAGCGTTTCAACGCTACAGATACCGGGCATCAAGCCAACAGTGCTAGGACAGCATGGACTATGGACTTTGCGAAACCCGACTAGTTGTGACGCATAGCACATCGAGATGCAATGATCCCCATTTGCGCCACTTGCTCGACTGCAGCGGGTGCGCGGACGCTCGGCGTCGCGTGATGGCGTGCTGCCGTCTCACTGGGCACGCGATTCACAGGAGTGCCCCCGAGCATGCGCGCGCCGGCGTCGCTGTCGACGTCCGACTACAAGCAGTGGCTGTCGCGCGCGCCCTCCACCGGCGCCATCTACGAGCGCATCCGCCAGTACCGGGACGCGTCGCAGCCGCCCGCCCGCCGGGGTGTGACGCTCACGTACAGCGCTGAGAACCTCGGCGCCGACATGGCGGTAAGCTGGGCAGCGGGGGCTGAGGGGGAGGGGGAGGGGCGGCGGGTGGTACGGGACAGCGGTCAATACCAGACTGTGGGATTGTTGAGCAGTAGTCCGTGACGGAGTGACACGCGGAGTCTCCGTGCGCGCTGGAGCCGGGCACCAGGTGACAAGATCGGGTCGCGTTGAAGGCGATGTAGTTTAGGAGCATAGGAAGACGTTCACGAACGGATGGTTGGATCCTCCAGGCACGCATCATCTGTGCAGTATGGACTGGCCACGTATAGATGAATCACAGATGATCTCCTGTTCCTGGATTAGAAGTATCTTCGGCTAGAATACCGCTGACTGGTGTTTGTTGTTCAGGAGGTCGCACCACTGACAGGCGAATACTGGCTGACTTAAGTTCGCCTGACTTAAGTTCGCCGCCGCCGCTCTGGCTGCGTGACTATGACTGGTTGCTGTGACTACGACCGGCTGCTGTGGCTGTGACCGGCTGCTGTGGCTGTGACTGGCTGCGTGACTGTGACCGGCTTTGTGACTGTGACCGGCTGCGTGTCTGTGACCGGCTGCGTGACTGCGACCGGCTGCTGTGACTGTGACTGGCTGCGTGACTGTGACCGGCTGCGTGACTGTGACCGGCTGCTGTGGCTGTGACTGGCTGCGTGACTGTGACCGTCTGCGTGGCTGTGACCGGCTGCTGTGACTATGACTGGCTGCTGTGGCTGTGACCGGTTGCTGTGGCTGTGACCGGCTGCGTGACTGTGACCGGCTGCTGTGACTGTGACTGTGACTGTGACCGGCTACTGTGACTGTGACCGTGACCGTCTGCGTGACTGTGACCGGCTGCGTGACTGTGACGGGCTGCTGCGCGGGCCGCAGGAGTCGCCGCAGTACTGGCGCGGCTCGCGGCCGGGCGCGCCGCGCGCCGCGCCGCCGTCGGAGGCCGGCCGTCCGGATGCGCTTTCCCAGCTGCCGCACCGCCGGCCCGAGGAGCGCTGCGTGACGCCGGCGCCGCAGCCCGAGGCCAGGTCGCGTTTCTCCGTGCTCGACATCAACCCCGCCGGTGAGCATGGGCGCGTCCAGCCACGGCAGGCAAACAGGGCTTCCGCAGGCAGCTGGCTGCGGCCCCGTCTGTGAGATCGCCACGGCATCACGGGCGAACTTGGTGCTGGCTGTTCGCAGCTGTTCAGCTGTGCACCGGCCCTGTCGATCCCATCATTAGTGTCATCATTAGTGTGTCATCATTAGTGTCTCAGTGTCTCACGCCCATTGCCGCATGGCACAACGCAGCGCCCGATGAGACCCGAGCCCGGACCTGACCGTCACGCGTCACACACCCCACCGTTGACCCCGGCGCGACACCTCCTGCCGGCAGAGTTTTTGCGGCACAGCTGGTCCCGCGCCTCGGCGGCCGACTCAGAGGCCGGTCTGTCCGGTCTGCTGTCCGTGCAGCTGCTGTCGGGCCGCGGCCTGCGCCCGGCCGGCCGCCAGCACCGCCTGCGCGACCTCTACTGCGTGCTCGAGTGCGACCACGTGCACAAGGCGCGCACGGTGATCCGCACCGGCGACCTGGTGTTCGACTGGGACGAGACGTTCGAGCTCGACCTGATCGCCAGCCGCCAGCTGGACGTGCTCATCTACTCGTGGGACCCGCAGTTCCGGCACAAGCTCTGCTACCGCAGCTCGATGGGCGTGGCGTCGCTGCCGCGCGACGGCGGCACCCAGCAGCTGGCGCTCAAGGTCGAGCCGCACGGCAGCCTGTACGTGCGCCTGCGCTACACCGAGCCGAAGCGCTGCTTCGAGCGGCTGCCGAGCACGCGGCCCGGCGCGCTGTTCGGCGTCGACCTGGAGACCACGGTGGCGCGCGAGGGCTCTGGCCTCAGCGTGCCGCTCATCGTCAAGCGCTGCGTGGACGAGGTGGAGCGGCGCGGTCTCGACATCATCGGCCTGTACCGGCTGTGCGGGTCGGCCGACAAAACGCGTGCCCTGCGCCGCCAGCTGGAGGAGGGCGCGCGCACGGCTGACCTCTCCCCGCACAGCGTGCCGGACATCAACGTCATCACAGGCGAGTGTGCCGCTGCATCGGGCGCTCACGGCCAGCCTCCACCTCCTGTGTCTTTGGCTGCTTTCTCATTCACTCCGCTGTTGCTGATGTTGCCGCTGCTGCTCTGGCCGCGTTTCTGTCTCTCCCTCCCTCTACCTGAGCCGCGTATGCGTGCATTAGGTCCACAATCCCACCCTTAAAGATGTGTCCTCAATATTCTGCCAGATCAGAATGCTGGACCCACAGCTTCGGCTCAGTTCACAAAGGACGCTCATTTGCAACTAATTTTCTAGAACGGGTTTTCGACCAGCCCCCGTCAATGTCAGCTCCATCTCATAATATTTTCTCGACACAGACAGTCCGAGTTAACGGATACAGTCATCCAAGACGCCCAGCCATGAGACGCCTGACCGGTACACACCATCTCGGCAGGGGTGCTCAAGGACTACCTGCGCGAGCTTCCTGAGCCGCTCTTCACCAAGTGTCTGTACCAGATGCTGTGCGACGCTCTGTCCGTGTGCCTGCCCGACGATTCGGCCGCCAACGCCAAGCTCATGCTCTCCATCCTCGACTGTCTGCCGAAGACCAGTCGGGTGCGTACGCATCGAAAGCTCGCTCTGCGCCGCTCACTGGTACGGCCGGCTCTGTCGCTCCTAGAGCGCGGACCCCGCATGCGTACGACGTGCTTATGGGTGCGTACCGCAAGGGGCCCGAGCACTTGCTAGGGGGAGTGGATGACTGCAGATGACAGTAGTGGAATGGTCGGTCCGATCTGACCGTTGGGAGCGCCGATGAAGAATGCCATCACGCATCCCTGAAGGCCGCAGATAATGGCCTTGTTTCCTCTCTGATTAAGGAGACTCGCCATGACAGCTATTGTGATCAAACACGTCGTCATGAATAGTTCATGGAAAGGAAATGGGCTGTTGTGCTCAGGTAAATATGTGGGACGGGATGGAGGGGCATTTGTTCTGGGCGATGGTCGTGGGCAAACGGACGAGCGTAATATTATATGTTAGTCAAGGACAAACGCTCCGCCATCGGCCAATGCTAGTCGACAATGGGCCGACATTTCTTTGCCATGTAATTCCTTTAGTAGGGTAGCCACAGAGTGGCATTTTCCTTCAACGATCTTCGTTCATCGGTAAAAATATCCAGAATGCCTCATGGGACTCCAAGTAAAACTGCACCTCCCGAACGAAAGGTAACCGCTTATGAGCGCCTATGAGTGTTCCGAGCGAACTCGTTGAAACCTCCGCTTGGTTTTGGGCGTTGAAGCTAGAACAATTCGGTGTGGCATCTGCCGGGTTCTAGCATCATTTGACGTGCTAGATGTGGCTTCTAACTTATAATTTAGATGTTTGTTAAAGCCATGCCTCAACCTGGAAATACTTATGTTTGTGTGAGACTGTTTTTATTCAGTTACTCCAGGATCCAGAGACTTTCTAGAGATTCGGATTCGAGTGTCCGCGGGTGAAACTTAAGTTTCCGCGCTAGCTGGCGAACCAAGGGTGTCACTTAGACGCTTATCAGCATTCTCTACCCATGGTTTCAGATAAACAACGAAAAAAGTTTTCAGGAGGACCTGAATGGGATTCTTTCTTTAGAAGGAAATCGATGCTAATGAGCACAACTTTGAATGACTTTTCCATTAAAGATCACTTAAGTCGTTTTAAAACTTTCGTGTACGGAACGATCTTTGTTGTCACCAACACGTGCCAAAGGTTTTTGTTGCTGCAGAACTACCCTGTGATCTCGATTAGGTTGTGGACGTCCCCTTCTACCGGAAAATTGAGGAGATGAATCAATCCCGTCTCCCTTCGACGGAGCTCATGACGAGCTCGTCGGCCGCAAGGCGCCACGCAAAGCGGATCATCGGAGTTAAAGCAGTGGTAGAGGTACAAGTAATCTGAAAAACCATGCCATCACAACACTGTCTCCTGTAAATGACAGCGAGCCTCGTGGCGTTGATCTAGTCAGACTCCTCCGCGCCGACACCGCTGGCACCGCGACGCACGGCCACAGCCCGCTGACGGATGCCCTACCCACGCAGAGCACAGTCCACTGATGGATGCCCTACTCACGCAGAACACAGCCCGCTGAAGGATGCCCTACCCACGCAGAGCACAGTCCACTGATGGATGCCCTACTCACGCAGAACACAGCCCGCTGAAGGATGCCCTACCGCGCAGAGCACAGTCCACTGAAGGATGCCCTACTCACGCAGAGCACAGCCCGCTGAAGGATGCCCTACTCACGCAGAACACAGCCCGCTGAAGGATGCCCTACCCACGCAGAGCACAGTCCGCTGAAGGATGCCCTACTCACGCAGAACACAGCCCGCTGAAGGATGCCCTACCGCGCAGAGCACAGTCCACTGAAGGATGCCCTACTCACGCAGAGCACAGCCCGCTGAAGGATGCCCTACCGCGCAGAGCACAGTCCACTGATGGATGCCCTACCCACGCAGAGCACAGTCCGCTGAAGGATGCCCTACTCACGCAGAGCACAGCCCGCTGAAGGACGCCCTACCGCGCAAAGCACAGTCCACTGATGGATGCCCTACCCACGCAGAGCACAGTCCGCTGAAGGATGCCCTACCCACGCAGAGCACAGTCCACTGACGGACATCCTGCCCACGCAGAGCACAGTCCGCTGGCGGATGTCTTACCCGCGCAGAGCACAGACCGCTGGCGGACGTTCTACCCACAGGCCGCTGACGGGCGCACTACCGCGCAGAGCACAGTCCGCTGATGAACGCCCTACCGCGCAAAGCACGGTCTGCTGACGGATGCCCTACCCACGCAGAACACAGCCCACTGGCGGACGCCCTACCCGCGCAGAACACAGTCCACTGACAGACGCTCTACCCGCGCAGAGCACAGCCCGCTGATGAACGCCCTCCCCGCGCAGAGCACCCTGCTGTTCCTGATGGACCACCTCCGGCTGGTAGCCTCCCAGGCGCAGTGCAACAAGATGACGCCGCAGAACGTGGCCATCTGCTTTGGGCCCGTGCTGATGCTGCACTCGGAGATCGGCCGCACCGAGATCGACTTCCAGAGACCGATCTCCATTCTCAAGTACCTGCTCACCATCTGGCCGACTAAGTCAGGTGAGGGGCCATCCGTTATTGCCGCTCCTTACTGCCCGGCCCACTACGCAACAGGCGTGCTGCCATCAGCAAGAGATCGTCGGGCTCTAAATCGGAATCGGAGGACTTTTTCCGCAGCAAGACGTTCTTTGCTTAGGTCAGGAGACCCCTTTATGGATTAGGTAGCACGTGCCAGAATCAATAGGCCCTTTTGTATGTTAACCATTGCTCTGATAGGGAGGGGGAGGGGGGTTGGTCGCAAAGATCTGTGCATTGATCAGCAGTTTTCTATTCTAGATTGCTTATTCTAGATTATCACCATTTATTCAAGTAATATTAATACATGTAACAATTTGCCAAGGGACACGTGTTTCTCACCCTTTACTACGATATCGTCACTCAGAACCCCTCCCCTTCTCCGAATAAAGAGACCCTATTTTGTCCAGGACGCCTCCCGAAAAAAATTTTATCCCCCAAATCATAATCCGTGGCGCTGCCTCTGGCCACCAGTGTCTGTTGGAGTAAAGTGGCACTATCTGTTAGAGCTTGGGCAAATTCAGTTTCTCATGACGTTAGTGACATTATATGTTAAGATCCGAGAGGGTGGCTGGTGAGAGCTGTGACAGAATCAGGCAGATTATCGCACGGGTCTGATAGGATCAGTACAAACAAGATGAGAGTGAGACCGCTCGCAAATAAGGTGTCAGTACCTGGTCAGATAAGTGTTGTACGTGTGGTGGGCCCGTTGCCGTGGAAGCTCTGCTACGTCCTTCCACCGCGTTCAAGTGGCGCCCTTGCCTGCACGTCATTGCCCACGGCGCGCCCTGACCGCCGCCGCCGTCTGCCGGCAGTGCGCGAGGCAGTGACGGCGCGCGTGACACCGGCGCGCCGCTCTCGACTCTCGCCGCACCCGAACGCGCTGGGCCGCCGGCCGGCGCCGCAGGACGACCCGTCCGAGCCGGCCACCACGGCCACCGACAGCGGCTCGGAGAGCCGAGACTCCTCGCCCAACCGCGCCGCCGGCCGACCACGGCCGCGTCCCGCCAACGCCGACGGCCAGGCCGGCGCGCTGAACCAGCCCTTCCCGCGACCGCCGGCCGCACCCTCCTACATGGAGGCGGCCGGCCTGCGTGACGGCGAGCTCTCGCGCCGCGAGCTGGCGGCCGACCGGACGTACGGCAGCCTCGACTCCAGGGCGGGCCGGGGCGGCGGCGCCGAGCACCAGCGTCTCACGTACGGCGAGTACGGCAGCCCGCGCTCCAGCTCGGTCAGCGGCCGGCTGGGCCACGGCGGCACGGACGGGCAGCGGGCGCGACACGCGGCCGCCGCGCAGGCGCGCACCCTGCAGAGCGCCAACAGTCCGTACTACGTGACGCTCGGCGCCGGCTCGGAGGGCGGCGATGGCGCTGGCCGGGCGCCGCTCGGCCTCAGCCGCCAGCTGAGCCTGGGCACGCCGCCCGGCCGGCAGGACACCGGCGCCGAGCGGCACAACGGCGAGCAGCAGCGTCTCGCCAGTCCCGCCGCCAGGAACGCCGAGCAGCGGCATCTGACCAACTTCAGAGACACAGAGCACAGACATCTGACGAGTCCGACCTCCAGGGACGCGGAGCAGCGGCATCTGACGAACCTCAAAGACGCGGGGCACAGAAACCTGACGAGTCCAGCCCCCAGGAACGGGGAACACCACCTGAAGAGCTTCAGAGACGCAGAGCAGCGCCATCTGACGGGATTTAGGGACTCTGAGCTCGGGCACCAGACGAACACAGCCTCCAGAGTTCCGGATAATCACCTGTCAAACTTCAGAGGCGCTGAACACGGCAATTTCAAGAACGCGACTCCCAGGTTCCCCAACAGCTCTCTGGCCAACTTCAGGGACTCGGAACACAGCTACTTCCAGAACGAGTTGCGCATGACCCCGGACAGCCCTGTGACGCCCTTCAGGGACGCCGAGCAGGGGCGCCTGTCGAGTCCGGGCTCCAGGACCAAGGAGCGTCACGCCGACTCCACGGAGCGCGAGCAGCGCCGGCTCTCGCTGAGCAGCGCAGACGGCGAGACCTCCGACAGCAGCTCGACACAGCGCGCCGCCGCCAGGTCTCAGGGAGGCACCGCCTGAGACGGTCCCAGGCGCCGACGGACCGTCACGCGCAACGCACTGAGAGTCAGCTTTGTGTAGGTGCTTCTCGGCAAGGGTCGCGTCACTGACTCTTGAAACGCCGAAATTGCTCCTTAGACCAGTCGGGATTCCCGCGCGGTAAGTGAGAGACAATGTGCCCTTCAGTCTTCTTAAGCGGAGTGAATCACGACGTCGCAGCCTCAACGTTACTTACTCGCGTAAGATTTACGAACCTCGTTGCTGTGACGTGTCTATCAGGTGCTGGCCCAAAATGCCGCTCCGTAGTTGAGTTTGCATCCCAGAGGCTTAGCGCTGCGTGAGACAAGAAATCCCACGCTCGGCTTCAGTCTGAGAGAGACAAAATCCTACCAGCGCACCTCACGAGCGAGGGATAGCACCGCGCAAGAGATGATCCCGGCCGCGGGACAGCCGTTGCCAACTTTAGCGCAACTTCGTGCGTCATAGGGCATGCGCGCGCGTCGGGACACCTTCCAAAAAGAAACAGGCGTCGACAGTTGGACCTCCCTTGGAATGTATGGGAACAACGGGCCGGCACAGATTAACCCGGATGAGACAAAGCAGTGCGTTTTGGTTTTTAACAGTAGTTTACGTTTTCACCCGTGCTGCGTAATATAACCCCGCCGTGTAACTAAGTGCCTGCTAGCCAATAGATGCTTTCTTTCGGCGTAGAAACAATGAAAACGAAAATGGCTGGTCGCGAAACAAAGCGAAGCAGCGTGATATAAGTAGGCGGCACATCCAAACATCGCGGTCAACAACAAACAAATGTTAGCTGAAGTGGTCTCGAGCCTCACTAGAAGTGGATGTCGCCCCAGCTCCTCACGAGAGGTTTGCACCGCTATGCCACGTCGAGATCCCAGTGCTGTTGTAAGGCGTGGAAAGCTGAAAGCCAGCCTGTCCTTGCAATGGTCTGGCACATCGCCACACCGACGGCTGGATTCCAGCTGGGATTTCAGTCAAAGCGTGCAGAAGTCTACGAGTTGTTTTAATGCAAATTGTGGTTCTTGCTTTCGTTATCATACGCTGAAAATGTTGCATCATACGTCCTGTGGGGTATTCAATAGATTGTTGCGCTTATTCCAGTATGAAACATACCAGTAGGTATTGGCACAACCACATTTTCGTCAACGCGTAATCGCCGGTACTGGCCGTGCCTTGTCTCAGTACTGCCAGCTCTATGAACTCTGGGCTTCTTGTCCTGCGAGGCACACTGCTATTTTTTCATCCTATTTATCACGTCCACGTGACATACGACATATCATTTCAAAATCTATTCAGGTTTGAGCTCTGGCTACAAAATGAGTCGTAGGAATTGTTGACTATCTGACGTGTCATGGACCTTAACGTCGGCGCCTGTGATACGAAAGCTCGTGCGCTGTTTGCTCCGCCTCGACTTGGCCAGGCCTGACGGCTGGTTCAGTGCTTTGCCTCCGGCAAAGTGCCAGACGTCATTGGACCATGTCTGTGGGATGCTGCTGCTTAAACGGATGCTTCATAGATGTCGCTCACTTGCAAATCCTTGTGCATTGCATACATTTCAAACGACCACCTGGCCGATGACTCATTCCAGTCGACCTCGCCGCCAGCTCAGCCTCTGGACTGACTGAACAATATCAGAAGTCAACACAGGGAATTTTTTGGCTGCGAATTGCCTGGCTTATCGAAGGCGTCGACAAAACTGCTGTTGTTAAAGTCATACATTGCACATGCAATCCACAGAACGAGTTCCTGAAAAGCAGCTGCACATGCTCCTGACAAGTAGCTTCAACCAATTCGGTGAAATTTACAGCGGCAATTCATGGTTAACACTTGCACACAAAGGTGCGTGAGCACAAAGTAGGTTTATATGTACACTTGATTTGTATAGAAATTAGCATACGTGGGTGTAAAGTTGAGTGTCTGGTCTTATTTGCCTATTCCATTGAGCTTCTTCGTCATGAACATGTAAGTATATATATATATATATATATATATATATATATATATATATATTAGAAGGAAATTGTGGTCAAATTTACAACCCGCATGCGAAGATCATCGCTCTTCACTGACAGCTCGTTGCATGGTTTACGTTCAGGGACGTGCCCGAAGGTTCCCGATGATGATAATGGGCTCAAGTGGTTTGTGTCTGGGCCGACGTACGAGTATTGATATAGTGAAGTGTCCAGAACGTGTTGCATTACCTCAGTCCTTCACCGTAGGCCAACCGAATGGACCGATGTTGTCAGATCTAGTGTGTACCGCGCGTTCCTGTCATACTGCTGGATTTTCCCTCTCTATGCCTTCTCATTTATACCGACAGAATGTTCCGCGTCGGTGGCGTGTGGCTTCCCTATTAACAGTTTCGCTAATCCCTAACGTCACCGCAAGCACGATGCCTTCCGCAAGCGCGGGAGGTAGAGCATAGACCCTGCCACGCCGACGGCCGTCGGTCTCTGGGGTACGGGCTGCTGATCCGACGGATAACACTGCCCAGTCACAGGGCCGGCTGCCTTTGTGTATACTACGCTGGTGCTTCATCGTAACGTCCCGCTGGTGTTACCGCACGCTTATTTATTGATTGATCTCTGTGCGTTTGTATTACCTATATGTGGCAAAATGGCCGCATTGCCGGCCGACGCCGTCGGACGTGACGGCCGGGCACCTCTCTTGTGATGTGACTGCTGTCTTGTGAAGGTCATACCTACTCTCGGTAGCTCCGTTCCAACGGTACGGCGGGGCTTCAACTGAAGGTGATTACATAGCCAGACCCGCTACTATAGGACCATGTGCTTCACCCACTTCGTTCGTAGAAACGCTATATCAACGTGTTCGAGTGTTTGTGATGCATTGTTTTACGTATTTAATCAGGTGTTTTTAATAAAATCGCTGACTCTATCTCTGTGGCAAGTTTATGATACCGCCTCGACCCAACAATTGGGTTTGCGTGAATCAAGGCGAATGTTTTCAAGACCGCAGTCACGTCCGGTTTCTGGAAACGCTCTTCCCATACCAAATCCCTGGTCGGCTGTCATCCACCAGTAGTTGTGACCAGGCCCCGCCGGCCCGTCCACGTGGCCTGGAGCGGCGAGCCCAGCCCGATCCCCGTGACCCGGGACGCCAAACCCGACCCGGTCCATGTGACCTGGGCCCCAAGCCGGCACGGACAGAGCGGCTCGCCCGTGGCGCGTCTCGACATCCCAACGTTTGACGCCGCCGCTGACGGCACCGGCACCGCGTCCAGCGGCGCGCGCGGAGGCGATCGGCACAGTGGCGCGACGCCTGCAGCCGGGTGGGACGGAAGCCGGCGCTCCTGCAGGAGGTGGGGCTCCACCGGCAGACCCGACGGCACCCGCGATAAGGCGCATGTCACTTTGCGGTTTAATCACTCCACCGCAACACAGCGAACTGACAGTTTCACGTGCTCCGGAACCTGCGGAGCCTCGCGAACCGAGACTGAGATCCGAGCTCCTGCGGCGATCCCTCCCGGCTGAGGAGCGGGAGTGTAGAGGCTCTCACGCTGCGCCGGTTGTCGCATCTGTACGCGCCAGGTCACGTGCCATGCGCAATTTGGTATATTTTTATGATCGCCCAATTTTAGAGAACATAGATAAAAGCACATCACGCTGATCACCATTCGTCCGACTCTGGCGAAACTCCTCACGTCTCTGAGCATCCCCGACGCGAATGTTTTAACCTTTTACCTGTTAACCTTTTAAGCCTCTCGGGCGCACTTCTGGTCTTGGGGCGATCATTCAAGCCACTGATGCGTCTTCAAGTCTGGGGGTGCACTCAGCCTAAGTGGCATGTCGTCGATTTGAGAATGTTGTTCGTGATCTGAAAGTCCCATTTTCAGCTCAGAGGCGCGCTATCGGCATTTGGACACAGTCTCAGACTTGAGGGGAACCTTATCAACCCTTAGGGTGCCCTTCCATTCACGATGCGCGTATTTTCAGGTCCAGAGCGCCTTTTCAGCGCTAAACCTGCATACTAGCGCCCTCGCTGCGCCCAGCCAGTCAGGAAGACGGCGTCTCCGTCCCTGGTCGTCTCTCGCTCAACGTATTTAATAATGTGCAGTGACCGGTCACTGCTCGATGGATGGTCAGGCCTGAGGTTGCTGGTACAGCGGATAGTAGCACCATTTTGTTTTTGCGTGCCACACCAGGGGCATCTGAAATGATGAAACACTTCGCGAGTTTTTATGTTCGGCCGGATGCATTTGACGGCTTCAATACCCTCCGCAACCACTCAGCTACAGGACGTCTGCCATTCCTACTGTCTGCACCAGCCGGACAACGGAGACAGTCCAAGCTGGCACCCAGAAATCGCTCATTGTGTCCCATGGCACGACGCCCGCGAGCGCACCTACTCATCTTCGAGAGACAGCAAGTGGAAACGACACCATGCACACGATCGTTAGCTAGAACGCGTCAAGATCAAACAGACGGCATATATTGGAAGCAAATCAGTAAAAGTGTACTTTTTGTCTCATGATATGAAAGAAGACGTCATCAACGGAAGTCTGTTTACGTATACGCGCTTTTGTTATCAACAGCATTCACAGCGGTTTCATAGCACTCTACAGTAAGGAGTGTATTCCAATTGGTTGTTTGATGCAAAGCTGTTAACACAACGATCCTATATCGCACAGGCTCTGACGCGACATAATATACGCATGTAAGACAACAAATGGCGCGTGCTCGTTTGCAAGGGTACCGCAAGGGTCGAAGGGTAGCGCGTGTATGACCGGTGGCATCGTCGTTGGGGCGTAATGAGACCTAGCAACAATTTTCACATAATTCGTTTATTCCTCAGGTATAGGCCCAGATTTTGCCTTGCTCGTAGTTCGTATATCAGGCATATATCTTCAGTCAACATCCAAGGAAAACTTTGGGATGGTGAGGAATATTGGGATCCTAACACTACCGAGAAATGAATGTCAATAAATGCATGGCTTTCCTTGTCCTTGGTTATTGAACACATCAAATTGTGAAATTTCTACATCCCCCCAGCTGTATTCTTGTCACCCTGAACTCAGTTGAACACAATGTTATGCTCCTGATATTAACACCAAAAGGCTGTTTGCTGTTTGAGTAATATGCATCAGCTTAATACTCTGCACCTAAATGCAATGCACATGAATCCAACCTTGACACCAACAAAATTGGAAATGTGATTGTTTAAGCTTGTGAAAATGAGCACCTATTCACACTCTGCCCATAAGACAATGACTGGGTCTTGTGATCTTCATGCACTTTGTTGTGCTCAGCCATGGGCATTGCATGCGAAAGGCATATACATGCCTGTAATTACACAAACTAAATCTGAACTGTATATATATACATGCATGTATGTATATTTATATATATATATATATGTGTGTAAATATGTATATATATATATATATAAATATATATATATATACATATATATATATATATATATGTATGTTTGTACAGCAGGCAGAAAATCCAGGCATCAGATATAACTCTTGGCCTACATTGTCATGCTACCACTGTTGGTCTTGAAAATTGAAGTAGTAAAGCATCAAACTGAGTATAACATGCTATTCCAACTGTAATAGCAGCCTACCACACAACTCCACTTAATGACCAAACTGAACTGGTTGACAGGATCATTGAATCTGGTTCACAAAGCATGCACACACACACTGGGCATGATCAGGCCTCACATACATAATACAAAATGGATGGATGGATGATGGATGATTTGTTGTTTTGTAGATTTCATGCAGGAAAATGACATTCTAGCCCATTCAGGCACAATAGGTGGCTGTATTTCTGGCTGCTGATGAAGTGTCATGTCCTGTAGCCCTGTCTGATCATTTCATCCCTCTGCTGGATGGTAGGCCACCCACGTGGCCACGTGCGGTCTGGCCGACTGCCGGCCGTCGCGAGCCCGCTGTCGCGGCCATTTTCCGGCAATGAGCCGGACGAGTCATCCAGCCTGCTTGATGAGGCAGACGAGCTGGACTCGGTCCGCGTCCACCTCTACCCAGACACTGATGACCACGTGCTGAAGGCGCTGGCCAGGTGAGCAAGGCCACTGTACTACACTGACCAGTGTTCGGCTGCTCCTGTCACATCACACCGATCATGCTGGTTCTGTGAAGTGCCGGTCACTGTTCGGAACGTTTCGACGCGTGCTGGGTTATATGGATAGATGCCTCATCTGCGGGAGACGCCTGGGTATTTCAAAGGCATTGGATCTGTTTTGGCACACTTTTTAGTCTCTGGTGGCAGCGGGCCTGTGCGTAATGATTTCGATATATTGTAAGGACGTCGCCTCCATTCTCAGTGTCCATCCTCCCCCCCCCCCCCATTGGTTTCTTGGTAAGGCTGACCAGATATATTGTCGAGTGTCCTGCAGGGGTGGACTAAGGCGCAGCTACATATACCTGAGATTGTCACTAGCGTACGCATTGTTTGAACCAGTGGAACAAGACATTGCGTCTGTTGGGGAGAGTAAACAGTACGTGCGAACATGGTGTTGCGTGGCGCGAGCATGTTGTTGAACATTGGTCACCTTCGGAATGCCTGCGTGGCCGTGATTGCCGAGGACCTGGCGCGGGCCGATCGTCGCTACCAGGCTGACGGCGGTGACGAGGCGCCCCGGCCGTCCCACCGCCGCCGCTGGTCGACAGTGGTTTCCGTGCCGGCCGCCAGGGTGTCGACGGCGGAGGAGGTGTTCGCCGCGCTGGGCGATTCGCTCGAGCCGCGCCATCTCTGTCAGGCCATGGCGACACTGTGGGACGTGCACAAGCTGCAGAAGGGTCCAAGCCGGCCACCTGCAGACGACGTCCGCCGCCTGAAGACGGCCCTGCTGGAGCGGGCCGACGACTGCGACGACCTGGGCCTCGTCTGCTCACTCTACTGGTCAGTGGGGCCGACCTCGCGTCACTGTCTGGGGATAGTCTGCTCCCTGTACTGGTCAGTGGGGCCGACCTCGCGTCACTGTCTGGGGAAGGTCTGCCCCCTGTACTGGCCACTGGGGCGGACTTTCTGTGATCACCGTCTGTGCGCGATCAAACAGAATGCGAAACCAAGGGCCAGCCAAGCCTCGACCCACCGACCTAACCTGTCCTTGCTGGGCTGGTAACGGTGCACCTCTTTTCAGCCTGGGCCGGCTGGGCGCTCCCCGCTCGGACGCGACCGTGCGCCGGCTGTTCGAGTGTTCCCTGCGCCGGCTGCCCGACCTCCCGTTGGCCGCCTTCAGCCGGCTGGGGGCGAGCGTGCACCTGTGGCCGGTCTGGCCGCCGCGGCTCGTGCTGCCCTACCTGCGCGCCCTCACGGCGCACACGGCCGCCTGCGGCTCGTGGCACGAGCTCAGCCTGGTGACCACGGCCTTCGCCAGCGCGCGCCGCTACCTGTCGGCCGAGGCGGAGCGACGCTTCATGTCGCTCGTGCACCGGTTCGCGCTGCACGTGGATGCGCAGCCGGAGGACACGGCGGCGCTGCTGAAGTTGCTGCGCGTGCTGAGCCGACCCGAGCTGCGCCGCTGGCTGTCGCCCGTCTGCCGACACTTGGTGTCGCTGTACGTGCGTGCCGAACCGCGCCCGCCGCCGGCCGCCACGGCGCGTCTCGGCCAGGCCGTGTTCACGTGCCGCGAGGCGACGCCGGCCGTGGAGCGGCTGCTAGCCGAGCGGGGCCGCCGCCCTGGTGGACCCCGACCGGCCGCGCACGCGCCAGGATATCTGGCTGGTGTTCACGGCGGCGCCGCACCGCATACTGCCCGGCTGGCTCCAGCAGAACCTCGTCGACACGATCCGGTGAGAGGCGGCACAGGACGCGCCAACACCTGCCGGCTGGCGCTGACCGAATTGTTCGGATTGGATCCATGGTGAAAAGCCGATCCGCCGTCCAGTGGACGTTGTTTTAGGCACGCCCATTTAACCGAGGGCAATGCTCGGGAGTGAATATGTGCATTGGGATAATTTTCAGTTCGGCTCATTGAGCCATGAGGGCAACGCTTTGGACTGTGTCCTTGTCTTGGGATCAGTGTTATGTCATTCCGTTTCACGTTATGGGGCGCAGTATGCTGCTCCAATGTCGTCAGGGGTAACACGTTGATGCCTGTTTCAGGGGTCAACTTAAGTCTCTAAATGAGAACCTTTCCATTCCCGGGGTTCTGGAGGATGAGAACTCTCGGTGGACCTTCATCCATGACATCGAGTTCGTCCAGCGCCTTCTGAACGACCTGCGACCCGTGCGTCCGGCCGAGCACCAGTCGCTGTGGGATCTGTGCCTCCGGGCTCTTCAGCAGGTCAGCGCTGTGCTGTTAGATGGTGGCACGCATGTGTCTGACGCTATAACAACGTGCTGAGCTGTTGAAGACCTCCGTTCATCGCCCAATCATTAGGTGTGAGGTGATGGACGCAGCATGGGTGTAACTTCTCCTTTGGGAGGGGAGGAATGCGCGTCGGGATTAGGGGGTTTAAACTGAAATCTACAGTCAACCTTGGCTGAAGCGGACATTTTGAATGAGGAAGACTGGGGCACTTGCATTCTACGGTCGAAATTCGTGAGACGAAATCCGTTTTTTTTATTTAGAGTGAAAACGTCTCCCCCCCCCCCCCCCCCCCTCATTGGTAACACCCATGGTTAAAACACAGGGTGAAACGTATAGCAATTGTGTGCTCTCGTTTCACGCAGATTATCTAGGGTTTGCGTCGTTCCTTGCGCAAGCGGGAGTAACACAACTCGCCGTGTCGTGCTCTGCAGTCCGTTTTTTTTTTATTTGCGAGACCGTAACTGGGTTGGCGGCTCGAGTTCGGACCCCGTCCTTGTCCCGTGAGCCGGCCGTCTGTCCCGGCCCACGCCGGCCTGCCGCTCTCCACACGGGCTGACTCGTCTGGACTGGTGACCGGCGCGTGGCGCGCGTCGCCGGCAGCCTAGCACGCCGGAGGAGACGGATCGCCTGTCGCGTGACATCGCCTTCCTCTACCTGGGCCACCGTCCGCTGGAGCGCCACCCCGGCTGCCGGGGCGCCGCGCTCGAGGCGGCCCTGCTGGCGCGGCTCGAGGCGCAGCTGCGCGACGCGCCCCTCCCCAGCACGTACCAAAGAGCGCACGTGGCGGCGTTCCTGGTGGCGTTCTGTCCGCGCCAGGTGCCGGCCGGCGTGGTGGCGCACCTGCAGCGACTGGCCGAGCGCGACCAGCTGACGGTCTCCGTTCTGCGCTGGCTCTCCAAGGCGGTGAGCGACTGTGAGCGGCGGCGGCGGCGCTCCTCCGCCTGGACCGCTGTGCTGACGGGAGACGGGCAGCTCCGAGGCTCTGGCAGGGAGCTTGAAGTCGCCAAGCCGAGCTGGCAGGAGACCCTTGGTTATAATATGCTATGTTGGGTCAACTTAACAGTCAAAACCGTACCAAGCAAAGATTTCATTGTCAACATGTTCCGAGCGGTTGCATTCTGGTTAGAGTCTTATTAGAGGAGATGCACCTGTTCCGGATGTTTCGCTTTTAATTGGCGAGGTCGCTGGAGGCCCGCAAGAGCGCCGCACTGCCTGTCCGTCCGCGGGCAGCGCTGGCGCCCGGCCGGGATCGGCGCCGGTCGCTCGGACGGCGCGCCGCCTCACCGGACCGGCGTGTGTGTCACACCCAGGTCGGCATCGGTCGGCTGCGGGTGCAGGGCGAACCCGAGCCGCCCGCCGACGAGTACCTGCACCAGCTGACGCAGCTGACGATCGCGCTCAACGGCGTCACGCTCCGCCTCCTGCCGACACTGACATCTGTCGGTGAGATGGAGAGATGCTAGTTCCTTCGGGTAGGCGTCCACGATCCATCCGGGATTCTGTCATACGAGTGGGTGGAATGGAGGTCCAACCCTATTACCGTGTGTTGGGGCTGTAATACGGACCGTGCTGTAAGAAATCAACGATTTTGCAAAATGTCCACCTCTATCTGTTAATGAAGAACCCATGTTGTTGCAATTGGTTGCGCAATATTCGTTATATTTCATAGCGAGTACTTGGAGCGCTGGACAAGATCTGATGATCGTCGCTTGTGTCATAGGGGTTCGACGAGCTGACCCGTATTGCGGGCCCAGAGTATCTCGCAGGGGGGTATCGTGACCTGACCTGACCTGACCTGCCGGCAGACTCGGTCATCTGGCTGGCCCAGAGTACCTTGCAGCGCCGCGGCGTGCTCCGCGGAGACGTGGCTGTGTTGGACGCCGTGGTGGCGCGCTTCAATCAGCTGGTTTCATCTCCTGAGCTGTGCACGGGCCAGCTGACCTCGCAGGCGGCCGAGGTGCTGGCCGGCTGTCTGGCCGGCGTGCTGTACCGGGACGCGGCCGCCCTGGACCACCTATGCCGGTGAGCCGCGGCCATCAGGCGCACTGCGCTCGCTCTGGGCGACCGTCCCACACCGTCAGTCAGGCTGGCGCCCGGTGCCAGAATGTCGCCCGGTGTCAGTCCGTCCGACCGTCGCCCGGTATCAGTCCGTCTGACCGTCGCCCGGTGCAGGTCCGTCTGACCGTCGCCCGGTGTCAGTCCGTCTGACCGTCGCCCGGTGTCGGTCCGTCTGACCCTCGCCCGGTATCAGTCTGTCTGACCGTTTCCAGTCCAATCCAGTTACTCAGTCTGATCGTCGCCCGGTGTCAGTCTGTCTGACCGTCACCCGTCTGACCGTCGCTCGATATCAGTCCGCCCGACCTTCGCCCGGTGTCGGTCCGTCTGGCCGTCGCCTGGTATCAGTCTGTCTGACCGTCGCCCGGTGTCAGTCCGTCTGACCGTCGCCCGGTGTCGGTCCGTCTGATCCTCGCCCGGTATCAGTCTGTCTGACCGTTTCCAGTCCAATCCAGTTACTCAGTCTGATCGTCGCCCGGTGTCAGTCTGTCTGACCGTCACCCGTCTGACCGTCGCTCGATGTCAGTCCGCCCGACCTTCGCCCGGTGTCGGTCCGTCTGGCCGTCGCCTGGTATCAGTCTGTCTGACCGTCGCCCGGTGTCAGTCCGTCTGACCGTCGCCCGGTGTCGGTCCGTCTGACCCTCGCCCGGTATCAGTCTGTCTGACCGTTTCCAGTCCAATCCAGTTATTCAGTCTGATCGTCGCCCGGTGTCAGTCTGTCTGACCGTCACCCGTCTGACCGTCGCTCGATGTCAGTCCGCCCGACCTTCGCCCGGTGTCGGTCCGTCTGGCCGTCGCCTGGTATCAGTCTGTCTGACCGTCGCCCGGTGTCAGTCCGTCTGACCGTCGCCCGGTGTCGGTCCGTCTGACCCTCGCCCGGTATCAGTCTGTCTGACCGTTTCCAGTCCAATCCAGTTACTCAGTCTGATCGTCGCCCGGTGTCAGTCTGTCTGACCGTCACCCGTCTGACCTTCGCCCGGTGTCGGTCCGTCTGGCCGTCGCCTGGTATCAGTCTGTCTGACCGTCGCCCCGTGTCAGTCCGTCTGACCGTCGCCCGGTGTCAGACCGTCTGACCTTATCCCGGTGTCAGACCGTCTGACGGTTGCCCGCCTGACTGTCGCCCGGTGTCAGTCCGTCTGGCCGTCGCCCCGTGTCATTCCGTCTGACCGGCGCCCGGTGTCAGCTGCCGCGGCTCCGTCTGAGCAGCGCGCCAGGCTGGGCGCGCCCGGTCGTCTCGCCAGCCAGCTGAGAGCGGCACTTGGTTTGGTCTGCGCCGATGGAGCCGTGGGGCCTCGAGCCAGGCCTGTCCGCTCCGCCGGTTTGCTGGCTGACCCCAGCCGACTGGGGCCCATGCCTGGGGCGGGCTCGGTGCTCGGGGAGCGCCGGCAGCCCGGTGTGCCCTCTCCGGCGCGTGTGTGCTGTCCCCGCGGTCTGACAGCGGCCCTGACGCCGCCCGGCGCCCCGCCAGACACGTGGTGCAGCACCGGGAGCATGTGGCGGGCGTGGTGGCCGAGCGCGTGCTGTCGGCGGCCTTCAGCACCGGCTACTGGCCGTCCGACAGCCCGGCGTTCGAGGACTTCCTGGTGTCGGCCGCCGACGTCGTCTCCCGGTGAGAGATGCCGCCTCCGCAGGCTGGAGCGCCACACTCTCCGCGGCCGGCGCCGCTGTGGGTGCTGTGGGGGGACCGCTGCTGCTGATGACCGGTGGACTGGGCTCCGGGTGGAGGGGGGGGGGGGTCTTCCCTCGGAGATGTGCGCGGTAGAGGTCGTGTCGCGCACGGCATGTTGGCCTGTCAGGCCGGGCGGTGACTGATCTGTTAGTCAGGACCTGCCGGCTTCCGCGCCGGCTTTGCGGGCACGCCGCTGAACGCGTGCCCTCGCGCCTCGCCCCCAGGAGCATCTACCGGATGCCGGCGGGACGCACCCTGCGGGCGTGCCAGGCGCTCTGTCTGTACGGCCAGCTGCCGGCCCACCTGGCCCGCACCGTGCTGGGCCAGGCCTTCCTCCACAAGACGGAGCGCCAGATCAGGAACCTCTCCGAGCTGACCGTACGTCCGCCCCGGGCAGCCGCTGCGCCGGCCTCCTGGACTGGCCCGTCTCCCTGCTGTGTAGCTCAG